GCTTGGGCGAGGACGTCACGGCCGTGAGTGAGAGACTCTTCGTGAAGTTTCTGGATCACATGAGGAACCTCAGTCTCGACATCCTGCTTACGTACACCCTCTGCGTAGCAAGCTTCCCAAGCCTCGATTGTCTCACGGTCGTTGTTTGTACTGGCGAACTTGATGTGATCGGAATCTGTTCCAGCAGAAAATCGAGCTCGGAAGCGGACTCGCCCGACCTGCTCCATCTCAATATCGGGAACAGACTTGTAATTTTCTTCGGTAATGTAGTTCTGGGAAAGTCGCACGCTGTGGTTGCACTTCCAAACAGGGATGTCAAAGTCAGTCTCTTCACCATCAACAAGCTCCAGGAGCCACAGAACGGCGTAGGCATCGGGGTTTCGCTTTCCACTTGGGTAGAATTCCATGAAGATGGGTGAGCTGTAGCGATGTCGAACGGGTAGGCGAACACGTTGATTACCGTCGGCACCACTGATGTTGAAGGACATGCCATCGGCCTCACGAGTGGATGAACTCTTTCCAACGCTAGCAGACGAGCCTCCAGTACGGAAGCGAATCTTGGCGTGGTTCGAAGGAGCATAGCCAGTGGTGGTGATGGAGTCAGACACGAACTCGAAGGTACCAATATCCCAACCCAACTGAGGAGGGGGAAGTCGGAGCTCAACGGAGCGGAACAGCAGGGAGATACGGATGCGGCCAAAGCCGATGCCTCCGTCAAGAGGGTACCACCTGGTAGACTCGCTGCTGGTTTGAAGGACATCAGTGATCTTGAGAGGAACAACACCAATGAGAGGGTCATGCTGGCGGTTGCGGGAGTCACGGACTGCAACGGTAACGATAGCAGAACGCCAATCTCGAATGAACTTTTCGGTTCCAGCGTTGAAGATGGGTTGAGAGGAAACAACCTTTGTTCGGGTCTTGTAAACAAGATCGTCGTTGAGAAGGATGGTGCAGTAAGAGCTGGGGAGAGACTTGGCCTGCTCTTCCTTGACTTCACCGGCTTCAGGACGAGCTGGCTCATACTCTCTACCCTTTCGCTTTCCATTAGAACCCTTGATGTTTTCCAATTCCAGGCCAACAATCTGGTGGACGACGATGCTGAGAATACCAGAAGGCCACAATGGGTCGGGAGGGGTGTGAATGACTGCATCTTCCTCCTTGGTGTCGATCGCACCCTTGTTCTCTTGAAGCTCAGGCTTGTCTGCGAGAGCCTTGGGAAGGCTGAGATCTCGGCCATCAGTTCGAAGAGCCTTTCGGAATTGTGTCTTGCCAAAGAAGCCGACTTCCCAGTGAAGTTCTCCGGGCATTTCGCTGTCTGCCTTGACACCTCGAAGCTTGGAAACCTGAGGGAACATTTTACCAGGGTGCTGGATAAGCTTCTGAATGCTGAGCTCGACCTTGCCAACGACATCATCAGCAGAAGATCGATCACTGTCCCAAAGCTCAACCGAAAGCTGCTCGTCAGCCTTGAGAAGATCAGCAGTAACCAGAAGGCCAGCGCTCTCCTCAAAAACGGGGTTAAGATCGTCCTGGATAACACGAGTACAGAATTGGGGCTTGGAGAACTTGCTCCAGCTGATGGTGATGTAAGGATCGGAACCACCACCCTTGCTTCCACGCTGGTCCTGCTTGCTGAGACCAGTAGCCTTGTGGATGCGAACGAACATGACACCAAGAGCCAATGTCTCCTTCTTGATGTCGTCACCCTGGAGCATCTTGCTAAGATCAAGAGACAGACTCTTGGGGGCCACATACATCGAAGCGGCAGCACCAATGGCCCAGTTGACAAAGTTGGAGATGAGAGGCAGGTTAAGAATATTGACACCCTTCTCGATCATAGGGGTACATCCAGCCTGGACCTTAGGAATGCCCATAAGCGTGAAAGTGAGAGTTTTGAGGAAAGGAGGGTCAGGGGTCAATTGGAGTCGAATTCGAGCGGTCGCAACAAGGCCTTGAAGTTCGACCCAAATGGGCAAAGGAACACCAAATAGGCCCTTGATTCCGAGGTAGAAAACAAGCTGCATACCCATGTTGCGCGCTTTGGATGCGATATCCGCGCCGGAGGGCTTCGCATGATAGGCGATAGCAACCTCGAGGTTGTAGAACGAGCCAGCTTGCTCATTAGCCGCGAGTTCTTCAGGGTCGGTGGTCTTCTCGTTCTGTCGATGCTGCTCGTCCTTGATGTCTTGGACGTGGGAGTCGGGAAGAGCACGCATGTTGAGAATGCGGATAGGATTGTTGCCCTGGGAAATATCTGCAACGCGAACGTTCTCAATAACACCAGGAACCGAGGCCGCCATAACATCTTCGAGACTACTAAAGTTAGTACCAATCATGCCATTGGGAATTTTTACTTACGTATCAGCAACACCAGCAAACATCTCAGGGTTGATCAGCCCCCACATGATTCCGAGCATGGTGTTCATCCATTCAACCGACTCAGGAATCAAATTTGCGGTGGCAGTCTCACCACGCTCTTGCTCGCTCGACCATTCTAGATCTCTGCCTTGACGAATCAGGTCTTTTGTCCAGAGGAAAACACCAGAAGCTACGCAGAAACCCAAGGGAATAAGACCAAGAAGACGACCGCCAAACATCTTTCCAATAAAGACGATTGCGGCGAAAATACCGATACACAAAACATTGCTGCGCTGCTCGAGAATCTCGAACATGGGTTCGTAGCTGACTGAAGGAGTCTTGTAGAACACTACTGATGTCTTCTCGCTTCGAATGGGGACATCTGATGTCGCACCCTCTTGGACGGGGTCAGGAGGTGCTGTGACATCTTGGGCGTAACGGTACTCTTCACCAGACTGTTTCGACGAGGTTGCGATGGTGGCAGGCTTCCCTAGGTTCTCGTTGGGAATTGATAGCTGAAACTGTCAGTCCTTGCTTCTTCCTTAATAAAATACTGGTGCCTACCTGGGGGTTTTCAACGGCCTCCTTGTAATCAATGTCGGCATCTCGAATGCCAACATCCTTTCCTGTCACAGGATCACGCACGGTGCGGATGTCCTTTTGTTTTCGAAGAGCTTCAGCTCTATCATTTTTGTGATCCTTTGTCTCGCCATGGATCTTGTTCTGCTTAAGTTGCTCGTCAATCTCAGCATCACGGGCCTTCTTGTTCTGATCCAACTGGTCCATGAACTGGCGAACATTAGGCACACGGTTCTGGGCGCTGTAATGCTGCCCAGCCGCAGGGATCTGCTGCTGCTCAAACTGCGACATGATGGCGAACCTCAAGGCAGACAGAGAATTAAGCTGGTGGTTGAGCTCCCCAAGTCGGGTATAATGATGAAGAGAGAAAGAGGAGGAGAAGAAGAGAACAGGGAGAGAAGTGAAATACTGATATGACACCAGAATTGATTAGCGTCACACGAATAACACTACTTGGCCCATTGCGATTGATTCATCGCTTTGGGATGGTTGCTTGAAACGCAATCAACCAAGGAAAGCAATCAAGTGCAAGGCATGATTGAGGTCGATGACGTCGATTATCTGTAAGTACGTAGCTCACATACAGGGAGCTTTGGCCCCGGGACGATCAGTTTTAGCGGGCAAAAGAGCCGCGTTAAGGCAAGTTACAGGGGGGAGCTCCCCGCACTCGTGGCTGGGTGTTTAATTCCAGAGCGCCACTGACCGCCATGAATGACGTTGATGGTCTTATCAGCAGTATCTTCATAAAAGACGATGAGATCTGTCTATTCAGTGACAATTGAAAGATAATTATAGGCATAATATCGTGATAACTCATCAGATCATCTTGTTTCATGCATGCCAAGACTGCTAATCGCCGATCACGATACAAGAGTTCAGCCAGACAGGGAATTCTCAAGCATCAACATCCATGGCATGATCATCCCCAACCCCACCACCAAAAGCTTGCGTAAATGGCTTGGCCAAGCTTGGGACACCAACGCCAACTCCAACTGACAGCTTCTCTGATTAAGAACTAGAAGCAGGGGCTTCGCCTGTCTTTGGATCAATCTCTTTACCCGATAAATCAACTGCTGGTTCAGCGTTATGTAAGCCATCGAGCTTCATGTATTGAAGTGAGTCGAGATCGATGTTGTTGAACTGCCGCACCTGCAAACTTTCAGTAAGACCTTTCTACGATAGTGGTTCATATCACTCACACTGATGCCATAGCGAGGAGCCTCAGGCCATACCCTCGCAAAATCGATACCGATGCTGGCACCGCATTTGGGGCAGAACATGTGATCGCGAGTCTTTGTGTTGAATTGATATCGTGAGACACGCTTGTCTGAGTCGTTGTGCCAGGTCACTTTCTCATACGCTGGGTCTAGTTATTCGGGTCAGCATTGTCCGAACATAAACCTTCAGCCATTCATACAAACAAGAAGGTAACCTCCTCGACGACAAATGGAACAATTGCAGTTTATGACCTCATGCTTGGGCAGAGGAGGAGAGAGTGCTACTGAGAGGCCGATATAGCCACAGTGACAGCCTGCCTCGTAGGTGATCTCAGGTCCGCCAGCATTGGCGAGCTTTTCGAGATACTTAGCAAACATGTTGCAGTCGTTTTTATCGTGCGTAAAGTTGAATAATACCAAAGAAGAGATCGTAGGCCAGGCTCTCGGTATTTAAGAACGAATTGGCCATAAGCAATTGACAATTCGGATGAATTTCGCGTTTCAGCGCGTGCCTCGAAGTGGTATAACTAACCTAGACCTCTAATTGCCTATTTTGGACTCCGACAATCCAGGAGTTCCATCGACTGGGGACGAACGGTCCTACCGTCAGTGTCGGAATTCCGTGTCTACATTAACACTGACCGCTCTGCAAGTCTGTGTATATAACAAAGCTCTGTATTGTATGTTTGGTTAATAAGACATTGTAATTCAATCTCGAAACTGGTGCCAATCTAGAGTAATATTAGCACCCAAGATATAGATCACAGCGATTACCAAGGCTACCCTAAAACTCCATATTCACCCATGGGCATAGTAGTTTTGAGGTATCGTTAGGAATGGTACATTTTGGGATATGACAATGAGGAGTTCTTGATTCTTTAATTGTCATTGTTAACTATTTTCCCTTGGCTAACTTTGGCCCCTGCTCGATAATACTGATCAATAAACTAGGAAGACCTCTCGCGGACTCCTCCTCTTTCTTCAACATCTCCTCACTTACTTTCAGATAATGGTCCTTGAAAGCACTCCATAACTCCGTATCAAATCCATCCGGAGATCCAGGTCGAGGGTAATACGGATCATTGCGCCAAAAACACTCAGCAGCTGTTGCAGCACCAGTTTCATCCATTGTAATAGGATCGCAGCAATCAAAGTCTATAATCCAAATGGAATGAGGCCCAAAGACGGTTGCACCAAATGGGCTGTTTGGGTGTGAGTGTGAAGTTGGGCGTGATCGAGCAAGAACGAATTCGACGTCGTTGGCGTCAATTCGAGCGACCCAGTGAAGAAACGCGAGGCTTTCCGCAATGACTTTTGCGTAGCTGTGTACATTGAGACCAAGCTCTATCATTCGGTCAAGGTGAAGTGGGAAGTTTCTTAGACTGAAGAAAGTGCTGCGGTTTGTGTCTCCCCAATCCTTCTTCCTGCGGCCAAGATACGGGCGGATGAGGCAGTGCTCGTTCTTTTTGTCGTTGATTATAGCATCTTGGTCACTCTCTCCTCTTGCAAATTTGGAAACCAGCAGCTTTCTAACATCTTCTGAGAGCGGCTGAACTTTTTCGCTGAGCAATGCGTTACAAGGTTTTGAGCCTGGTGGGAGTCGGGGGAGAACCAGGGACCAGGCCTCGTCTTCTTTGTTAAGAAATCCACGGCAAAGAGGTATTCGGAAGTTTCGTGCATGTTGTGGATTCAGCTGAAGAGATTGAACAACAAGTTGATGTATGAAGTGTTCATTTGTAATCGATCTGTGCGGATCGCCATCTTCTCTTTTGATGCAGGAGGGGGTGCTGTTGTCTTTTGACGAGTCTGCGTCAGCCCATACACTTCCACAACAGCCTGTGCCAATACGTAAGAGCTTTTCTGGAGATGATTGAGTAGTGAGATCGTGGCTAACTCCTGTTGCCATGTCTGAGCCGGTGTGAGTGCTGCCTTATGAAAAGAGACCTTGAGATTATGTGATCGTGGAGGTTGCAACTTGAAGATGAATGAGGGTGCGGGAAGTACGAGTCTATGCTTGCGTAAGTCATAGAGTTTAGCTTCACCACCAACACCACACACTCATCTCAACCGCTGCTACTCACTTAATCATACTCTCATCCAAAGTTATATAAGTTTCGATATATCTACTTAAAAGGGCATGGTACTCATCCTACAGTTGAAAGCAGATATTGACCAATCTTGACAGGGCTTCATACACTCATCTCACAAGCCAATCAATGCCTCACCTGAGGAGAGCATTCTGACACTCAGCAACAGCGCAATCATCACGGTTCCAGTATTTCGTGTATGAAATGTGCCAATGCCAATGCCAATGCGATGAAGCCTTGCGCCTGGCCTTTCCTTACCTCGACGGTGGACAATGTGCTTCTTCACAGTTCTTCTCAACCTACGTTAGAGTGCACCCCAAGTTTAACGCAGGTGAATCACGATAACTCCCTCCATGGTTCGCCTGAATGCAAATAGCTTCTAGTTTCCAAAAACCGTCAAAGCATGCTCCGCCATCCACTCCATGCCCCCAGCTCTCCAATCATCAACCTCAATATGCGTTCCATTGATGTTGAAGACCACGCCTTTCCCATTGGGCCCACCAGACAGTTCATAGGTAGGCCACTTGTTACCATTGAATAGTTCCGGCCCAGAATCGCCATTCGGATCAAGGTCATTGATGAAGTTGATCCAAGCAGTGCTGATCGTCTTGGACATGGCTTTAGCATCGGCTGGATATGTTCCATTACCTCCAAATGGATTAGGCTCATATCCATCACCATTGGTGTTATGAAACACAAAAGCGACCTGAAAAGGTTAGATGTTTCTCACTGATATAGATTCCATGGTCTTACTTCTTGGAAATGTCCCACTCCAGCCTCCGGTGGCTGTCCGTTCGGCCTGATATTGAAGCGATATACATAGCTGGGTACGCCATGCTTTGCCCAAGCCTTGTTCGCACGACGTCGTTGGTACTGCATGACATAGTCTCCGAATATTGCATTATCTCGACGATACTGAAGTCCAAATTCCTCAGCGTACCCATCACCTGGTTGAATAACGTGTGGCCAGGTCTCCAAGGACGGGATTCCGATGCTTTGGTTGTTGGGATAGCGCTCCAGCAGCTCATCGACGAGTCCGTCTCGGATCTTTCCAGTAGTCTTCTCAACTCCGTATGGAATCATCATGACCTTGATCCCTGCTCTTAAATCATCATCGTCGTCAACACGCCTAAAACCAAAAGATGTCCCTTCATCTGTATTCGCTCCTATAAGAATTGGTATTTTGAGGAAACGCCCACTGGCCAATTGGTTCGTAGTATAATCCGCAAAGAAGTCACCATCCAAGACAGGAGCCCAACTTTGGCCACCGCTGGATCGCAAAGCTAAGTCAATCTCCTCAGAAGGCACCCTGCGTAGGCAGTCTAGAGTCGAGTCTGACCCCGCCAGCTTCTTACATGATGGAACAGACCTGACAAAAGAGTCGTAAGTACCCTGTGGACGCTCAGTCGCATTGAAGCCACCTGGGTATCGGCCAAGGGGTGCGCCAAACCCGGACTCCCCAATAGCCCCCCTGAAGAGACCATCGTCTCGTCCTTACATGGTCAGAGATGATTCAAGGTTAGGCGGCTTGTACATACCATTAAACGCGAACACTTGAGCAGCAACACTTTCGGCGCCAGAGCTCTCCCCAAAAATGGTGACTTTGTTGGGATCGCCTCCGAATGCCGCGATGTTCTCGTTGATCCAACTGAGTGCAAGTCTTTGATCACGAAACCCAAGATTCGCGACACCTTCTTTGATGGCCTCTTTACCCATGAGGAACCCGAATGCCGAAAGACGATAATTGAGGCTGACTCCAATGACTGGCTTCCCCAGTGCAACACTTTGCTCAACAATGAAGGAAAGGTTGTATCGCGGGTCCGCAGCACCACCCATCCATAGACCACCTCCATGAATCCAAGCAGCGACTGGAAGACCATGGTTGTGAAGGCCTGCAGGTCGCACTATATTTATATACAGACAATCTTCGGACTGCTCGAAGCCATCTTGATCCCATCCGTAGCCGTAACAATGAACCGGATACTCATGTGCTGTTCGGATACCGTCCCATGTTGTATTGAGTCCTTGGGCTATGGAGAAACGCACTGGTGGCTGCACAGGAATTAGCCGGCCGTGGCAACGAGGGTCAATTCGGGAGGTACCTGAGCAAATGGCACACCAAGGAAGTAGTCTTGGTCATATTGAGAATTATATACTCCAGAGTATGTGCCGTTTCTGACCGTAACGAGAGGAGCAGATGGTGTCTGTGGTGGAGGATACAATAGGGCTTGCGGCAGACTAAGAAGGGCCCTGCCAGCGTCGATAAGAGACATGTTACCGACGAAGGGCATCATAGCAACTGAGTAGAGACTAAGATGATAGGTATTTCTATCATTCATAAAGGAAATCCAGGTTCGTATAGGCCAGATCTCTATTGACGCATACAGAAGTCTCCGAAGATCAGGACAAGGTGGTGTAAGCCGAGTTGGTGATACAGTGGGCTCAAAGAGGCCAACAGTGACTCACTAAATGATAGTCAGACTCTTTTCTCGTATTTAATTTCAGCCCTTCGATTACTTCTTGGGTACCTTTTGAAGTTAAATGGCTTGCCAAGCAGTAACGCCAATTACAGGTGTTGGCCAAAGAAGATTGGTATCGGACAGAAAACACCACCTGATGAAAGGGAGGTTGAGAGCCGGTCGCTTACGGGGGCCTTTGGCGCTTTATAGTGTCATAGGCTGTAGGTAATCATACAGTTAGGTACTGCCGGAGTATTTAGCCATAGGCCCGTCTGCCCGGAGACAAATTAGAGAAATGGTCAAGATATTGTTCCAATGCCCAACATATCGTCAGAGGTTCAAGTTTTGTTCAATTGACAGCATTTTTCATTCTGCGACAATATGTTTCCTTATTGCAAAAAGTCGCCCTTCGACTCCTTGAGGAGCATCTGATACTCGGGCTCAAACTGCATATACATCGCCTCAGGACTCCCTGTGTTGTCTTTCGTATATTGCGCCTCCTCATCACTCACGATAGTCTTCTTGAGCTGAGATCCGTTAGGAGCCACGGCAGCTTCTACAAGCAATTGTGCCTGACAAGCTCGTTCCAAAGCGATGAAGAACGCTGCTGCTTCACCAATCGTACCACCCGAAGTAAGAAGGCCGTGGTTCTGCAAAATGATGTTCTTCTTGGTGGCTCCAAGAGCATCAGCAAGCCTATTGCCTTCTTCCTTGGCGAAAACTACTCCCCCAAAATTGGCATAGACTGCGAGATCGTTGTAGAACATACAGCTGTCTTGATTGATCATCTCGATGGGCTTGCCGAAGGTTGACCAGGCGCGGCCGTAGGGACTGTGAAGGTGACAAGCGGCGTTGATATCTGGACGGCGTTTGTGAATGGCAGCGTGAATGATGAAACCAGCTGTGTTAACCGGCTTCTCTGCACCCCCGATACGATTGCCATTCTCATCAATGTGGACCATATCAGAGACGGTCAATAATCCGAAGTGAACGCCGTATGGATTGATCCAGAAGGTATCTGGATCAACAGGATCTACCCATGTTAGTCTGACAGTAAAATATCAAGACGTTGCTGCAAACCTCTCAAACTAATATGGCCACTACTTCCATCAGCATACCCAAGTTTGGCAAACACACGAAATGCTGCAGCCATTTGCCCCAGCTGCCATTGTCTTGTAGCTTCTCTGGTGGAAAACTCTGGAATCTTGTGAATGCGTTTCACTTTGCCATCTTGGGCTTTTGCTGTGTTTAGGATGGATTGGCCTGTTGGGCTAGCTGTGGTGGCAGATGGCGACATTTTCACTGATTAGAAATAATAATGAGTCGAACAGTCGATCATGAGACTTATAATAGAGGCAGATTGATCTTAATTATATCTGTACTGATGCGGGGTTGATCGCCAGTGATGCTTGATGGCGAATTGATATGCTTCATGATTGGTGGTTGATGAATTGACGAATTGGTTATCCGACCATTGGGTTCAAGTTAAAGATTCTGACGAGATATCCTATTGATCACAACAGCCAACAACAATGCCCAGAAAACATGGCTTTTTTCTCATTTTCTTCTAGTTCAATTCCGATATCATGCCACATGCAATTTCTTACGAAACAAACTTACACCAAGCTTCAGCATATCAACATAGAAGGCACCCGCGGGATGCGAATATTTGTAATCCAGCGGAAAATGATCGTCAACATGGTCAGATTATGCTTATCCGAGATCCACAAAGCCAAGTTTTTAGAAGACGGTCTTTCGGTATTTCGGACTCTGAAGGTCCGCCTGTATTGCTGAGCGGACTTTTGAGCTTCAAATTATCTAATATAGTGCCAAGACGCGGATGATCATGGCGCTCCTTCAGACTATGTTGCGCCGCAAGTCCGCTTCAATATTTGTCATCTGACATGGATCTCATACTTGACTTGGAGGTGATTGAAATTGTGTATAAAGTCTTGATGTCTGTTGAAGAGTTGAAATTATCATCATAAGTCAAGCTTCAGATTCACAGACTCTAGTTTACAACTCCACCAACTCTCCGCCAGTATGTCTCGTCATATCACTGTCATCCCTGCCTCAACCAAGGCTGGTCGAGAGACCATCCGTACTCTTCTAGAGTCTGAGAGCAAACCGACTATTCGTGCAGTCTACCGAGACACTTCCAAAGCCCCTCCTGAGTTTCTCAAGCATTCGAATTTCGAAGCTGTCAAGGGCGACATTGGAGACGGTGACAGCCTTGATTTTACAGGCTCAAACACAGTCTTTTACATCCCACCTCCTACCTACGATGGGACTGACACCGGTGATTGGGCAACTCGAGCTGGTACCAATGTAAAGAAAGCTCTCGAGAAGGCAAATATCCAGAGACTTTTGATCCTTTCTGCTATCGGAGCTCACAACTCAAGTGGCATTGTATGTCTCCTATTCATTTTGAAAATTTCAGCGGAAAACTAACAACAATTCTTCTTAGGGAGTCCTCCGAGTGAACTACATTTCTGATGAACTTCTCAAGGACTCTGTTCCAGAAGTCTCGATAGTCAGGCCTACCTACTTCCATGAGGACTGGGCTCATCTCCTCGATGCCGCAAAGGAGGAGAACCCAACTCTTTACTCCTGGGTCACACCCATCGACTACAAGATCCCCATGGTATGCAAAACCTTCAAAGCCTTCAAGAAAGATGAAGGAAAATCATACTAACTTATACTCCAAGGTCGGGCTCAAGGACGTAGCCGAAAACTGCGCCGACGCCCTCTTAGCCGAGACAGCAAAGCCCAGCCCTCACTATTTCAAAGTTTTTGGCCCAAGGGCTTACGGTTCTCTTGATCTGAAGGAGGCAGTCGAAGAAATCACAGGCAAGAAATATGAGCTAAAGCTTGTTGAGAAGGACCAGCTACTTGACTACTGGAAGCAAATTGTTCCTGAATTTTATGCTGAAGAGTTCAAGGAGATGACGACCTGCGGCTTGGCGGACGGCATCATTGCAAAGAACTTCGTGTATGATGAGAATACGGTGAGGGGAAAGGTGGAATTGGTTGATGCTCTGCGCAGCTTGTATAAGAAATAGGGACACCTCTGAAGAAAAGAGGGACGAAGACTACCTTACTATAGGTTCATAGCTTCAAAACAACTATCATCTTATAGCATATGTCTATTAATTGTGATTTACCACCAGCCTCCCGCAGGAGGCAAGATTCAAACCCTTCACGAGATGGATCCTGCCTTTATAAGTTGACATGCTCATAAAATACTGCAAGATTTTAAGGATAAGTTTAAAACTAAGGATAAACTTAGTCTGTTTCGATGTAACTCTCAAAAACTTTAAAATAATATTTTTGATATTAATAAACAGGCTGAATTTCCAAATGCTTTGCTGTTCCTTCTTAGAAACCCTTAAAGTACGCCCGCAACCATATGAATGAACCCGATTATTACAGCCACAGCCAATATCCTCGATATAGGCATCCCGTTTATCTCCCCGTTACTTCGTGGATTCAGATCCTTTGCACACTGTTTTATACAAGCATATGCCTTAGTTCCAATCGGCCCATCCTCCTCATCTTTTGTAGTGTAATAAGTCTCTTGGCAAGTCCTAGCACATCCAAAAGCCCAACAAGAAACTTCCTCTGCATCAATATGACTCCTCCCGTCCAACTCCTTCTGACTCCAAGTTGCATTCGCTCCAACAAGGGTAGTCCTACTGCTATAAGAAAAGCCCATACTTCTTGGGGCGCCTTTCTTCAGAAAAGCAGTTGAGATGCGGATTCGCGATTGGTTGGGTGCTGCGTCTGCAGGAATGGTGATGTTGACTTGTGTCACGTCTATGTCTACTTCTTTTGCGAGCCAACATACTGGTCCTGTGCCCCATCCCGGTGGTGTCAACGCGAGATAGACGCGGTAGGCGTTTGCCCTCTTGCGGACTTCTGAGTCTGGTCCGATTCTTTGCTCAATTTTGAGGTCGTAGAGTTTGTCTGCTTCGAAGGGGTAAGGGAGGCTGATTGCAGGTGTAGCGTTAACAGTTGGGAGGGCCGCCAAAAGAGTGAAGGCAATCACTCGTAAAAGGAATGATATTAGCTCCATCGCAAAACTTAAAGACAGTGGCGTAAAGAAAAGCCCGGTAAGGCTGGAGAGATGATCGTGAAGAAGGGAAATGAGTGAGATTCAAATTAGATCGTGCTTTGGCTGACAAAATCATCAAACAGGGGCTCCGTGTCCACCACGCCAAACCTGTCTGGGCAGTCTTGTCATCCTCCGAGACTATAGCCGATATGAGACGTCTTAATCCGAATATGAGATGACACACAATCAAATACTGTTACTGTTTACAAAAGTTCTCCTACCTATAATATTCAAGGTCAGAATCGTGATGTTTTGATATGTTTGTCCTTATTAGGTTGCTATTCGCATACCAACTTTCAGACACAAATCAACGACCAATATCACCATGTGAAAGCAAAGAACTTATGAAATCAACGTTAACAGAGATCAATAGAGGCACCCCAAGTCTAGGCGCCGATGAAGCATTCAATATACCAAGGGACAAACAAAGGCAAATGCAATTAGGACATTGAGTCATTCGGGCTGATGCCTGGCCTTGCTCTATAAATCTTCAAACACGTTCTTTTAAAGATTAAGTTGTTACAACATCAAGGCTTTCTGGGTCTGGCCCTCTCAGATACCATCATCAACACCACAAGTTTCACCTGAATCCTATCTAGTCAGCAAAACGACCAGTCGTCCTCCTTACAGTCCTCTCTACCAGAATACCTGCATATTTCTGGAGCCCACTAAGCGAGCAACATGACCAACTCGGCAGACCGAGTCTTCCATACTTTGGAACTCGCTCAGCAAATCGTCTTTGAGTTGGAACTCAAGGATTTCTTCAGAGCATTATCGATCACAAAAGGACTATGGGAAAGCCAGGTACCAAACCACGTTTGGGAAGAACATCTTATGCGTCTTGGATACCCACTTCAAGCTATTCGACAAACCTCTCATTCCCTGAAGACCTGTTATACGAGAATATCTCAAGCTGCCGATGCCATCAGTCACGGAGCCAGCCCCAGATCAAACCTCATAAGGTTGAAAAATGAACTTGGAGGGAATTACACATATGAATACCACTATGATGGCGATATGGCAGCGCCACTCATCATTCAATCCTCTTCGCCAGACAAAGGGGGGACAAGTGCAACATTTTTGCGATAGATCTCGAAGATCCACGTCTCTTATTCACAGACGTAGAGAATTTTCCGAAAGATGTAGTGTTCAGTGGCACTGCTCTTCTGGGCATAGATTACAGCGTTGACGACATAGATTCACCTCCCGTTGTTCTATACAGTCTGGATGACTGGTCCCTAATAACAAAGTTTACAAACACCCATCTCGGCAACGGTGAGATGATATTCTGGTTCAGAGACTACCTACTCTATAAGAATTTTATCTTAATTTCTTACATTATGTTTAACCAGACAGAGGGTGTGATCCAGACTTGGTTCGATATTTGGGATGTTCAAGGAACGAAGCGTGGAGAAATCATTGTCACTAAACAAGGATTTGCAGACGATCCGTTCCATTCTAATGCCGACAGTCACTACTTGACGATACTTAGCAACCCCTGGTTCGAAGATGGCCAACAAACTATCCAAACATGGGACTTGGAACGGATGGAGTTGACATATCAATGCACCATCTCCCAAGAAGACATGGATGAAGATCATTCCTGCCATACAAAAATGGCATTGTGTATATTTGTGACGATTCAGGGAGAACTTCTGAACACTGGGCTGTTGATGGCAGACCTATTTCCAGGAAAATGGCAGACATGGAATGGAACTCGGATCGCTCGAGAAAGTTTTCAGATGGTAGCAGGATTGTATGGGCCAAGTGGCTTACACTGTATACGAATGAGGGAGATGTAGTGCAGCGCTTCAAGGCGAAGCAGGGAAAAGGGTACCGCCTTGAAGCTGGCATACTTTTTGACAGATTCTTCTTCAGCATCTCGTGGCGCGAGAAGTCGAAACATGCCACCCTGATGGTTTATTCGAAGACGGGAAAGAAATTGACATCGAGTCGTGTAGCTGTAAGAGGGCGCTGCTTGAGGTGGTTCATTGACATTGCGGGACGCCTGGTTTTAATCAGGGACACATGTACAAGCATGGAAATTGTAGACTTCCGTGGACTTCTGCAACGAAGAAGAGACAGCCAGAGATATTCATATGTCGAGAGTTATGAGAATTAGATAATCATCAGTATACACATCTTTCATAATGTTTCTAAGAATGGATGAAGAGAAGTTCAATGAGCCCAAGTGTGACTTACTCATATTTTTTTATTTTTCCCCCGAGACTGTATAACAGCCGTCAGCCAGTCCACGAATCCGTTAACAACTCGTTCTGACACACACGGGAATACCTGGATTAGAGGTTGAGAGCTGACTATCGAAGCAACACAGCTTTCGGGGATAAAATAAAACCCTCGTACCCGAGTTTCCATAGAAGACCGAGACTTTGAAGGCCATTTACTCCGTACTTGATGTTGGTTGACCGTTGACTGAGACAGACCAGGGTCGGACATTTGCTTCAATCCCCATCTCCGATAATCCAACCTCCAAATCATGTCAGCACTAACACTGTGAAAGTGCGCAATTCATGCACGATGAGAAAGATGTCACCTATTTTTATCAATTTCCTTATCTAACCGTCCCTCGGGGTGCCAGAGCCCTTGAGACCGTAGCGGCCAAGACGAACCAGCCAATGAACCTACTAAATCCATCCTTAAATTACCACAACCTTGGTCAAGTATTTTATTAGTCGGGAATGATTGATGAAGTCCTCTCATAAACGGAAATGCCATTCGAGCTGAAGCGCTAAAAGCATAGCCCCAGCCCATCAAAACGTGGCACTGAGCCCTGTCATCATCGTCACTGCTGATAAAAAACGGCGTTTGCGGGAGTTTACCGCTAGAGTGCAACGTAGTTTCGGCTAGCAACTGCGTGATAGGCTGGCTGTCATTTTAGTCGCAGTGCAATTCGTAGGTTCAATAGCAAACCCAGTTGATGAGGCGTCGCAGAGGCTGAACTTAGGGACCGGTTTGACCGTCGGAGTGTAATCTAAACGCTGAATCTCCGGTTGGGAGCTCGAATTAGTAGGCATTGTGTTAATGTTAACCAAGCCTCTATGATGAAGCGGCTCTTGAGTTGGACTATTTAAATGCCAAGACACCCATCAACATGAAGGTATTCAATAGACGGACAGGGACTCGAACAATACATTCACATACTATCAACTCGGTAAACACTGAACAATGGGAAACCGCAAGATTGCGATCATTGGTGCAGGTCCAGCTGGTAAAGCTCTTCAGCCAACTACTCAATAGCATCCATTAACAAACTCTAGGTTGTTTACTAGCAAGACTGCTACATCTTGCAGGCACAGAAGTCACAGTTTTTGAAGGGGAGGCCCATCCAAACTTCCGATCCCAAGGCGGTACCCTCGATCTTCACACAGCAACTGGACTTGCAGCTCTCAAAGAAGCCCAAATCTTTGACGAATTCCTGAAGCATGCCCGCTACGACGGCCAATATATGGCAATTGTTGATAAGGACCTTGGATACCACCTCGTTCGAAACGCAGACGGCAAATACAACAAGATTGAAGAGCGTCCTGAAATCGACCGTTCCAAGCTCCGTGAAATATTGGCCCAGTCACTTCCCGAGGGCATGATCAAATGGGGCCACCATCTCAAGAGGGTCGAAGGCCGAACACTCTTCTTCAATCACACAACAGTCGAAGGCTTCGATCTCATCGTTGGCGCCGACGGTGCCTGGAGCAAGGTCCGAAAGGAGATCGACCCAAGCCTAATCCCCGAGTTTGCAGGAATTGCCATGCACGAGCTTGAAGTCACAGACGCTGAGAATAGAGCTCCTGATTTGACCAAGCTGGTCAATCGTGGCAGCGTCTTTGCAAGCACAGATGGCAACCGAACAACGATCCAACAGATGGGCGATGGTAGTCTCAACATCTACTGTGGCTATGCCACCGACAATGAAGACTGGGCAAAGCCCGAGAATTGCGGCTTCGATCCTTACAACCTGAAAGAGACCACTGAAGCATTGCTCAGCACCAAGTACAAGGACTGGGACCCTCGGCTGAGGCAAGCACTAGAGTTGGCTGACGGACGATGCACTCCACGCTCTCTCTACATGCTTCCCATCGGTACCAAATGGGAACATAAGCAGGGCCTAACTCTGATCGGCGACGCGGCACATCTCATGACACCTTATGCCGGCGAAGGTGTCAACCAAGCTCTCGACGATGCAATGCAGCTTGCAAAGGCCATTAACGGAGCTGCGAACAAAGATGATGCGGCACTTGACAAGGCGATCAAGGCTTTCGAGAAGGATATGTTTGCTCGAATTCTTCCCATTCAGGAACTTACCTGGGGATTGTTGCAAGATTGGATGCATACACCTGGAGCTCCCAAGACGGTCATGGCCAAATCTATGAGCAGACATATAAAGCATCGACTTCCATTGGTGCTCCAGCCTTTGGGTTTGGCGGCTGTGCACGGGTATTACTTTCTGAAGAACAAGAATCTCATTAGTTGAGCGCAGATTGGAAGCGGTTGAATGTGGATGATATCAAGGGCGAATTAATTAGAATGTTGATCGAAGTGCTGGAAACATGGATGCCGGAGCTATCGGTACTTAATATTAGCGGATGTTAGAGAGTTACTTTATTTACATGGAATTTCTTGAGGATGCCAGAAATGAACAGACAACTCTCAGCTCTATGTCCTTCAACTGTAGATAGCAAAGGTTAACAATCGGTGACCAACTGAGTTTATGATGATACTTTAAGCAGATTTGAGCAATCTCTTCATCATTGTCCTAAAGCTTAGGCCTAAGTTTAGACTTGAATTGTAAGAATTATTAGACTTTTTGAAGATGTTGAGCTTTTCTTGAACCCCGGGCGCTTAATGTAACACCTTGACATCTTTGACTCGGGGAGAACCCCATGTGACCAGGGATGCTGATCAGCCATCATAAGGACCCCAGATCCACGACTCTCACTTCTTTAGTTCCTCATGACCACCAACCACAGCCTCATGGAATCGTGCCAACGTTGCTCAAACAATTAACACGGCACCTCCCAACGCAACAGAATGGATAGCTCTCAAGCGCCGCTGATTGCGGGCCACAGCGACGAAGAAGAGCTTGAATATGATGTTGCTCAAGGGTCTCCCGCCGAAGCCGGCAAGACAGAGGGTGGAATGCCCAGCTTGTTTGTCCTAGCCTTGACGTTTGCTGCTGGCATCAGCGGCCTCCTTTTCGGGTGTAAGACTCTACTGAATGGTGCTTTGGCCTCAAAATCGCGCTGACAACAATCAGACGACACAGGTGTTGTTTCCGCAACCCTTGTCTCAATAGGCACGTCCCTCTCGAGCCGCGAATTGACCTCGATGGACAAATCGATCATTACATCCTCCACGTCGCTATTCGCACTTATAATCTCGCCCTTCTCATCCGTCCTCGCCGACCGACTCGGACGTAAACATGTTATCCTCTACGCCGACATCCTCTTTATAGCTGGAGCACTTCTGCAAGCATGGTCTTCTACGGTCCCAATCATGGTCGCTGGGCGGTGTATCATCGGTGCGGGAGTTGGCGCAGCCAGTTTCGTAGTGCCGCTCTACATAGCTGAGGTGGCACCCGCTGCGCATCGTGGACGATTGGTAACGCTGAACATCATGTTCATTACGTTGGGCCAGGTTATCGCATACATCGTCGGTTGGGCCTTTTCGACCTACGGTCACGCGGAGACAGGATGGCGGTGGATGGTCGGTCTAGGTGCCCTGCCTGCCATTGTCCAGGGGAGCATGATTGCTTTCATGCCTGAGACACCTCGATGGTTGGTCAAGGTCGGCAGGTCTGGGACAGCAAAGGAGGTTATTCGACGAGCCAATGGCGACACATTGCAGCACAATGCGGATGTCATTATTAAAGAGATCGAGCTGGAAGTGCGGGACGAGTACGAGGCACAACGCTTGCGCGATCTCCGAGCATCTGGCCGTTGGAATTGGCTCGGCGGATGGGAGCTTTTGATCAGTGAAGGGAGAAACCGAAGAGCTTTGGCTATTGCTTGTCTGCTTCAGGGTCTACAGCAACTCTGCGGTTTCGTAAGTTATCATGCGAACCACGAATATGATGAGAAGCTAACAGTCTACAGAATTCACTCATGTACTTCTCCGCAACTATCTTCACAGTCATTGGGTTTCAAAGCCCAACGCTTACCTCTATGGTAGTCGCCGTTACAAACTTCCTCGGCACAGTTGCTGCGCTCGGACTTGTTGATCGCATAGGCCGAAGGAGAGTGCTCCTGTATTCGATCCCATTCATGATCGCTGGCTTGCTGCTGTCTGCGTATGGCTTCTCGTTCCTGTCATTGGCAGCAGGAGTCAACACTACGCCAGATGAGCCACCCGCCACATCAGGACACGAGATGGCTGCTCTTACCATCCTCGTGAGTATCATGGTCTATGTGGCAGCGTATGCGCTCGGTCTTGGAAACGTGCCATGGATGCAAAGCGAGCTGTTCCCTCTGGCTGTTCGCTCGCTTGGCAGTGGAGTTGCAACATCGACAAGCTGGGCAGCCAACTTTGTCATTGGGTTGACCTTCCTACCATTGATGGATCTGCTGAGCCCATCTTGGACATTTGTGTTATATGCTTGTATCTGTGGTGTTGGATACTTTTTGGTCTGGCGCATTTATCCTGAGACGGCGGGGTTGAGTCTCGAAGAAGCGACAGCTTTGCTCGACGATGGTTGGGGCGTTCGATGATATATCCTGAAATAGAACATAAATATTATGACGTTAGAAGTTTCTGTTATCCTTTCTTAGCACTGGCATTACACGAAAGCCTTATCTCAAGTCTTGGCCGTATGGTCGAGAGCCTTCGGTGGGTAGCGAGCGGAATATCATGAAGAAAACAATGCGGCTTATTTGCGGTAAACCGCGGCTCGTTGTGAGTGACAAGGGAAAGTGAAGAAAAAAGGCCATCAAAAAGCGAATAGCGAGAAGGAATCGCTTACGCCGAACATGTTACATCACCTTGCATTGTCCAAGCTTTTCCAGAAGCTCAAAGGTGGAACCACTACAGGAGACGACTCGGCCGGCCCCCTCCATTGGCTGTTGATTCGATGATATGCGCGAGGGAGCGAAGTGCATATGCAGTCTTGGTAAGGTAACGGGATTTGAAAGCTGCTGAATAAAGCATGTGCATGATCGTCGTCTGTTAGACGCTGACACCGCAATTCTCGCATCTCACAATTTTCGGTGAAATACAGTTCATAAACTCAGGGGCATTCAAATAAACGAGTTGCTCGATGCTACAAGGAATCTGAAAATACAACCATTCAAAAGTATCGGATCTCTGTAAGGTAACATAGGGGAACCAGTGGGGCGGGAGCATTTTGGAACCTTTGAAGCCCAACAATGGAGCTGATTGTGAAGAACAAGATTGGAATTTACGATAGATTGGTATCCATCCACGGGATCTCGGCCCCGTTGGCTTGAGACACGGCCGAATGTTTGCTTACCGAGATGATCCGCAGAGAAAAGAGTCATAACACGGGTTTTCTGAATAATCAACGTGCATCAGCTAGAGAATCAGAACGGATATAGTATACTTTTGTCGGATATATGACCCCTTGTTGCAGCTCGGGCCTTGTCCCGGCGCCGGTGCCGAGCGTGGATGCCGAAGACAAGTGGGCCTCTTCCAAGTGAAAGAGGGTACCAAGCAGAAGATTTTTCTGCGTTGCCAGGGATTGAGGTCGATAGTTAGTAATGGATCTCGTTTTCGCTCTGGAAGAGATTGGCACTGGGACTGGGACTGGGGGACTCTGTTTACAGTGGACCTTGTCATTACTTATAGATGGCATCACCCCTTGAATCATGATCTCCCTGTTATGTTCTGCTCTGTCTCATTGTTCTCTCTAGATTAGATACAGACTGTATCATACTGAAAAGTAATTGAGTCAATTCTCTCCCTCCTCTTCTGACTCGAACTTCTCAACGTCTTACCTGCATACGACCTCGGCTTGACCTTTTTCGTACAATCATCACATTAGCGTCGCGATCCATCCATTCTCGCTTTTTCCCGCCAGCCTATAGCGTCATAGTCGCAGCTTACAGCGACAAGACGTAGACGCTACACATATAGCTACGCCCGCACGCCTCTCTGGACTCATTAATTCCAGGTTTCTCGGCAATTGACTTCTTCTTCATCTGAACTGAAGACGAAATACACAGTCAAGATGGCGGGGAATATCGTGGATCAGGAGCTGCTAGACGCTGAACGCGCTGCTTCTCCTCAGCGATACCAACAGCGCGACAGTGCTGAAATAGAACGAGTCATCTCCGCATCAACCGTCTCCTCATCATCCTCCGAGAACTCAGCACGTCGAAGAAGCCGCTCAATTGGCCAATACAACAGCATCAGCCGTATCTCAACCCAAAACGACCTAGAGCGTCATCCTACAGAACTCAGCAGAATACAAACAGCTCGAAGTCAACACAATGCCACCGTTGGAGGAAGTCTTCGTTCCCGCACAGCGTCGCGAGCTTCGCGAAAGCCTCTCCCTAACTTTGGCGCTGGAAAGCCATATCCTCCTCCTTTGCCGGAGCAGGAGCAATATGTCGTTGAATTCGATGGACCCAATGATCCTCTGCATTCGCAGAATTGGCCCTTGAGGAAGAAGCTTATCACTGCTGCTGTTTTGGGTTTCACTACCATGACATCTGCTTTCACGTCGTCTATTTTCTCTGCTGCGACTATGGTTGTTGCTCACGAGTACAATGTTGGCAACGAGGTTGGTCTTTTGGGAACGACCTTTTACGTGCTTGGTTTTGCCTTTGGTCCCTCGCTTTGGGCTCCTCTGTCTGAGTTGCGCGGTCGTCGTCTTCCAATTCTCATCTCCATCTTCGGTTTCTCTGTCTTCTCCATTGGCTGCGCAACTGGCAAGGATATCCAGACTATTCTCTTGTGCCGATTCTTCAGTGGTTTCTTCGGTGCTTGTCCTCTTGCTGTCGTCGCTGCTGTCTTTTCCGATATGTTTGACAACCGTACTCGAGGTACTGCCATTACTCTCTTCTCCATGTCCGTCTTTACTGGTCCTCTTCTCGCCCCCTTCATTGGCGGTTTCATTGTTGAATCTCACCTTGGATGGCGCTGGACTGAGTATCTTGCTTCTATCATGGGTTTCACTGCTCTCATTCTCGATGTCATCTTCTTGGAGGAGACTTACCCGCCTGTCATTCTCATCGCCAAGGCGGCTGATCTGCGACGTCGCACTAAGAACTGGGGTATTCATGCCAAGCAAGAGGAAATCGAGGTTGACTTCAAGGAGCTCGTCCAGAAGAACTTTTCTCGACCTCTGCGTCTGCTCTTTACTGAGCCCATCATTCTTCTGCTTTCCATCTACATGAGTTTCATCTATGGACTCCTCTACCTTTTCCTTACTGCCTACCCTCTTGTCTTTGTTGGCGTTCACGGCTTCAGCTCTGGTCAATCCGGTCTTTGCTTCTTCGGTATGATTGTTGGTCAGCTCATCGCTGGTGCTACAGTCATTGCTCAACAGCCTTGGTACATTCGCAAGCTTGCTGCCAACAATGGCATTCCTATTCCCGAATGGCGTCTGCCTAACATCATGGCTGGTGGTGTTGCCTTTGCCATTGGTATCTTCTGGTTTGGATGGTAAGTTACTCGCAAACTCAGCAATCGACAGAATACTAACGTTTGCTAGGACTGGATACACCAAGGACATTCACTGGATCGTTCCCACTCTCAGCGGTCTCTTCACTGGTTTCGGTCTCATGTCCATCTTCCTCCAGGCTCTCAACTACCTCGTCGATGCCTATCTCATGTTCGCCGCCTCCGCCATCGCCGGTAACACATTCCTTCGATCTCTCTGCGGTGCTGGTTTCCCTCTGTTTGCCCGTCAAATGTTTGACGGTATGGGCATTCAATATGCTGCCACCCTTCTTGGCTGTGTCGCCGCTGTGCTTGCACCAATCCCTTTCATCTTCTATCGTTACGGTGCCAAGATTCGCCAGAGAAGCAAGTATGCTCCCACCGCTCATCCTGCCCCTGCCTCTGGCTCTTCTGCAGAGGAAGACGAGAAGGAGAATGATAACGATACCGCCTTGGCTGCTGTCATCGCTCGTCGCGACAGTGTGGCCAGCGGTGCCAACAAGGAGAGCGCTTAAGTCTCATCACCATTTTCACATATCTTTGCGTATTTAATAACTAGCAACGTCTGATGGAGTTTTCGGGTCACGCTTGGAAAAAGGGCGTTTCATGACTTGGGCTCGTTGGATGATGATAGTGTAGCGGGTTTGCAAAAATGTCGTTTTGGATAGATACCACTAGGAAATTGCTCAGATTATACCATGATATGAGATGGTCACGCAAACATCTCTTCATGTAATACCCTAATTAATACGAATATGTCATTTAAAGGAACAATGCCTACAAGTGCTGTTATAATCTGCTGGACTGTTTACTTTGAAGATTGAGCTTGTAAGGAAGTGGTGAGAGGCATGACTCTAATCAAAACTAACAAACACACTCGGACAAGTTCAGTATAACTCACTTGGGATGGCTTTTGAAATGGTTTAATAATTTGAGATAAATATGGTAAATTTTGTGACCAGAATTTACAACACCACTTCGAGAGCAGTCTCAAGGGATGGTATCATTCAGTTCAGGCCTTGCAGTTCACACAGAAGTGCACATATAACCACAGAACGCATGCAGAATATATCAAACACTATCAATTTGATTACAGAGCTCAGCTCCATCCGAGTCATGTCGACTGTCCTCAGTCCAACCAGTGTGTGGCTGTTCCGTGTCTATATAGAATATACCGAGTTAGATATCATTTGGTTATATCGTTTCAGATAGCAGTGAATATACACAAGACAAACACAAGGGAATTTCAACAGTATGTCCAAGCATAGGGTATCCGCAAGAATCCAAAAAAATAAAAAAATAAACAGAAACATCAGGTCATAAAAATCGTTGCATTGCATCAACGCAACCACCACCGCTTTCATCCCAATCCAGGGCTGGTAACGCACTCACCCACCCACATCAGTTGGTGACGAGCCCGACCGTTGTCTGATCCTCCATTACCCAGGGCAAGTCTCGGTTCCCAACGTTGATGCAGGTGAGGTAAGTGACACTATCCGGGGTGCGTGAGGTACCGCCCATATCGAGTTCGAGATTGCTGCCCATGAGAGGTCGTACGATCTCTCGGGCCATTGACTTGAGCTCATCAAGACGCTTCTCAAATCGCCGGAGGTTCTCCCGGCTGTATAGCTCCGGAGTGAGCTTGAGGAAGCGCTTGCAGTCATCGTGGCCGAGGAAAGATGCGGGATTATTCGAACCGAGTTGGCGATATGCACGACCTACAGAATTCAACGGCGGGGCGGCGGGGGGTAAGGCGGCGACGCTGCGGCCGCCGTCACGAGAGGTCGTCCTGCGTCGCTGATCGGGAGGCGGCTGCGGAGAGGTGTTGTCGGCCAGCCATTGGCGGAAGAGGCTTATGGACAGCCAGTCGAGGTAGTTGTTGCTTGGGCCGACACGTTCACCACGGCTGTTGGTGAGCCCAAGACGGTACAGGCGTCCCTCGATGCGACCGACCGTATCTTCCAGTTCGTCAACCTTGTCCTCAATAATATCCAAGACAATGTCGGGCAGGGCTGCACGCAGGCTGCGCTCCCCGACCGGCCACTGCCCAACGACGTGAATCAGGGCTTCCTGAAATATCACCCTGCTACGAGCTAGGTACCCGAGGCGCAGATATGAGATTGGGTATTTGGCGATTTGCTTCCAGAGCCGTGACTGGAACTGCAGCATGTGGTGATCGACTCGAGGTCCCACCACAGCAAGGGCGTCATATTGGTCGGCGAGGTTGAGCAAGCTCTTGCATTGGACATAGGCATCTGCGACATTGACACCATCGAGGTTGGGCGGGTAATTGTAAAAGATGCGAAAAAGGTTGTCGTAGTCGCGCAAAAGGTCCTCGTCCGCTTGCGATAGCTCTTGGGCTGGAGGTGGGTGGTTGGAGGAGAGACTGAGGTTGGCGACAGAGCGGAAGAAACCACCTGAGGCTGACGAATTGGACAACGATCGCGAATGTGAGTGGGAGTGCTTGGAGCGACTCTGAGAGCGTGAGTCTCTTGCACTGACTGCAGGGGGGGCTGATGCAGGACCAAACAAGGATTGTGTAGTATCTCGCGACGATTCGTCTCGTTGGACCAGCATTGGAATATCGTTTGGTCCAGATTTGGGGCCTAGCTCGTATCGCCATCTCTTCCTGGGTGGATGGATGCTTCCTCTTTGCGACACTGAGCTGACTTCGCTTGCACTGACAGAATCCGGTTCCCCGTCCTCTCCGATGCGGGAGAGCTCATTGCCAGCCGGTAGTGCGCGAGCGCGGGACCACTGGCTCGATGTGCTGGTCTCAAAGAAACCACTCGAGCGCGTGAGAGTATGGCGATGGAGAAGATATCTGTTCTGCACGGGAGTAGCATCGGGAGGCGTATCGCGCGCGCGGACTATGATTTCCACATCGCCACTGCTAAAGACTGGGAAGTCATTGTGAAGAGCGTGAGAAGTCCCGCCGGTATGAGATCGGTTGTAGCGTTTCGATCGCGAGTCTGATTGAGATCGACGGGAGACGACAGAGGAGGGACCGCGGCGGGAGACGGAGGAGGCGGTTGGAGGCTCCAGCGTGGACACCATGAGGGCTTTTTCGATATTAAATAATTGCGAAGGTGATAATTAAGAGCCGCGCAGGGGGTATATGAGGCTCAGGAATGCGGCTGTGGCGGAGCGAAGGCAGATGAAGAGCTAGCGATGAGGCTGGTAATAGGTTATGAAAGATGGAAAGTAAATTGTGAATCACATGGGGCGGGATGTTTTGGTTTGTTGCGGAGCGACGAGACAATATTTGGCCGAGAAACAGTTAACGCGATAGAGGGAGGTAGAGGTCGAGATGAGGATAAAAGTTGAGAGGCAACAGTAAGAATAAACAAGACAAGACAGGGCAATACGTGACTGTGTGTGTAATGGATGTACGGAGCATGCAGATGTTGGTAGTTAGTTAGGTATGTATGTACAGTAAAGACAAGGATAACCTGTGATGGTGGCACGAGGACAACAAGAGGCCGCTACAGCCAGAGGTTCAAGGTAATGGGCCATGATCCAAAACATGCATTCCACACTCCACTCAAACTGGCAAGGCTGTTTCTGCTCTTTTCTCGTTAGGGTCCTTTTATGCCTTGGAGGCGAACCATTTGAGACGGTGACAGGGGTTGATGAGGGTCTCTTCTCTTTAGTTATTACCCGCATGGTTTAGTGAGAGTCTTTGTCGGGACACGACGAACCTGTCACCGACTGCTACGTTATTGGAGGCCTGTACTGAGGAGATACTGACGGACTGTGACAGACTGATGACGGTTGTTGTTTATTTACCTATCAAAAGTTTAATTCCTGTGTCGTGTTTTGTTTCTAACTATAGCTGTGGCTGGTTTATAGTGCACTAACGCAGTTGACCGTTGTACAGGGCGAACGACGCTGTTTCTAGAAGCTTGTGATTCTACGGTCGATCACTGCCTTTGGCGAAACTGATCAATTTAGATTGGTTCACGATGCTTCTTAGCGAGAGAATATGCCCGGTCGTCGTCAACATGGGGATGCCAAGAGAAATGGAGTGCTTTGGTCTTGTTACTGGGATAACAAATTTCTTTGTCTCAAGTGTCAATGCACTCTGAACTGTTCTCAGCCATGATGCAGCAGCTTCCTGTTCCTAGGTTCATCTTGAAGTCGTCTGAGTGAGCTCAACATATTCTAAGCCTACCTGAGTTTATCTCAGTTATCTGAGTCTATCCTAAACGTGCCAAAATATTTCGATACGTGAGATTGAGGCTCTGACTTTCATTGCTTCCTCGTCATTCACTACCTATTCCGCTATCAAGTACTTAGTTCATCCTGTAAAGTCGCCTGGGCCGTCGTGACACAACACCCGCTCGGCCCCACCACCTCGGACGGAATTTGAACAATGGGACCCACTCAAGCTTCAATCGAATTCCGGCATCACCACTTTTTCCCTTCCTCTAAGCATTGCATCGCATCAGCATCAACCTCAGCTTCAGTCCTGGTCCGCCAATTGTGCTCCAGGCTCAAGCTGGAAATATAATGGAATGACTACGGCCTTTCGCGTATTTCATCATGCCCCTCGGCCAATTCAGATCAGCGAGTTCAAAGATGCCGTCGACGCAGTTTGTCGTCCTCGGTTTCCAACCGCTCGCTTTGCGAGACCACAGCGTATAGGTAATTGGCTCGATGCTTTGCAGCTTTTTATGCGGCTAACTCTTCTTTAGTACTGGCTATCAGCGGAGGCGTAGACTCAATGGCACTCGCATTTCTCATGACCAAAGCTGTACGCTCATTCCGCGGCATGAAAGTCGCGGATAACCCAGTCCATGGTGTTCTAGCTCTCGTTGTCGACCACAAACTACGTGACGGAAGCGAACATGAAGCGTCAGAGGTCGCCAAAGAGTTGCGCAAACTTGACATCAAGGCCAGTGTTTCTGCTCTTTCTTGGAAAGAAGAGAAACGCCAAGGCCTCAACCCTCGTCAACTCCCCAATGTTGAGGGCCTCGCTCGAACTTACCGGTATCGCGCACTAGGCCGATACTGCAGCTATCACGGTTCCAATAGTCTTTTCTTTGCACACCACAGTGATGACCAGTACGAGACAGTTCTCATGCGGTTACTTGGAGGGCATGGATACCGAGGTCTGCAAGGAATAAGGGAGGCTAATTCGATACCCGAATGCTACGATTTACACGGTGTGTACAAGAGTGGCCTTCTCGACGACCAGCTCAGATCAGCCCCTGCACTCAGCTTCCGACCAGCTCTGAAAGAATTGAAACATCTACGACGCAGAATTCGTGACGAGTTGACCCTTGAAAAGGCCAATCTCTTGGACGATGTTCCTCAAGATCTCATTCAATCGTATCCGGGGTCTGAAGAGGTCCGTGAACTCTCCGACGTTCCATTCCTGAAGCCCTTGGAAGTTGAGGATGGCGGTGTCATGATATATCGGCCTCTTATGGAATTTGACAAGGATAGGCTGATTGCTACCTGCGAAGCGAATAAGATTCCTTGGGTAGAAGATGCGACTAACAAGGACCCTACATTAACGACACGAAACGCTATCAGACATTTGGTTCGAAACCACACCTTACCAAAAGCCTTGCAAAAGCCTGCTATCCTCTCTCTAGCTAAGAGATCAAAAGAGAGAACCGAGCTTGAAGAAGCAGAAGCTAGCCGCTATCTTATTCGGGAGGCCGTTATCAAAGACTTCGATCCAAATGTGGGGACTTTGCTGATAGAGTTTCCAAAGCTACGCAACTTCAACAAACGATTCAAAAGACGCTCTTTACATCCTGACAACGAACTACGCAAGGACCATCGGAGACTTGTCATGACCATCGCAGTCCGCAAGCTTATTGATTTTGTCACTCCTGAGTACCACCTCCCACCCCTTTCAAATCTCGAAAAAGCTGTCAATACTCTCGTCCCTGGCATGACTCCCGACGCCAATACGACGCCCAAAGCATTCACCGCCGCTGGTGTGTATTTCGATCCGATCGTCAGAGGAACATCCATCAAATGGCTACTCTCCAGAGCCCCCTATACATCTACCCAACCTCTTCCGATTGCAAAGCTGTATTTGCCTCCCTCATACCTGTCACCCCCCCTAAACACAGAGGAGGAGTTCACGGAAGCCCCGAAGGCATTCAGTCACAAGGGATGGGCGAGATGCAAGCTGTTCGATGGTCGTTTCTGGATACGAATTGGACGTAACAGATGGCCTATGTGGCAGGTCCACCCCTATCGCGCAGAGTATGCCAAAGCATTCCGCAAGGCGCTGCCTCCTCTACGAAAGGCTCGACTGGAGAAGTTGCTCAAGCACTACGCGCCAGGAAAGATTCGATACACACTTCCCGCTATCTACGGTGTCGAACGTAAGCGGGATCCGTATTCTCAGCATATCAGTACGACACTGACACTTCTTGCGCTGCCGACTCTGGGAATCCGTGTGCCTGGCCTGGAGCGGTGGGTCAAGTACGATGTAAGATATAAAAAGGTTGATGTCTCACTACTGGGACATCACCCTCGGGGGGAGATCAGGGGCCGCTTCGTCAGGCATCGACCGTTGTTTGAAACGGGGCGCAAACATGTTCACAATTCGAGACAAGAAATTCCCGAAGGAAGGGCCCGAAGGCCGAGAGTGATTCATTGCTTTAGACTACTTTAGACCATTTTCATCCGATGTTCATTTTTTCGACCTTTTGCTCCAGTTTCTTATTGTCCTTCTTCGTTTTCTTTTTCTTTTTTGTTTTTTTGATAACCCTCTGGTTGCTGACCCCCCCCCCCCCCTAAAATCATCAAAAGTTAGTCAAAGTCTAGACTTGATGAACTTGGTGAAAACTTACCACCCGGACGATGGTGCCCGGGGGAGCCACGGAGGAGCCGCCGGCGACAATCATGATGTTGTGGGCTATTGAGAGTTAGTAATTGCATAATATTGCATAAGAGCATAAATTGGATAACGACTTACAGAGAGTGAGGCACGCGTCAGCGGTATGGTTGGCTTTTCGACAAACAGAACAAAACAGACGTCGAGGCTTGGGAGGGGGGAGGGGCCTCGCCCACCCCCACTGGTTGGTTCCCCCCTTTTATCGGGCGGATCCTATATAGTGTGTTAGTACTCTTGGATGAAGGGCGTCGTGGATGTGTCGTGGAGATGTCATGGGGATATGGTGAAGATGTCGTGGATAAGAGGGAGGGTCTGGCTGTGTACGTACGGTTGCGGGTTCAGACTATATAAAGAAGAGTCAGTGTATATACTGGCAAGATAAGTATGGTAGAAACTTATAGCCATATTATATAAAAAAAATTTAAAAAAAAGAGTCTTTATATATTATATATTATTATATTTATATATCAGTAAATCAGAATAGAAAAGAGATAAACAAAATAGCTCTAAATAAAGAGTAAATAAGAAGATTATATTATAGTAAATATTCAGGTAGAGATAAGTATACAGAAGTGCAAGAATAGGGGAAACAAGTGAAGATAAGGGAGGACAAGGAGAACAGAAGAGGCCTGAGGTAGATTCCCGTGAAAGGATGAGGCTGTGTAGATGGTCACTCTCCGAAAATGCAGAGATCGCGAAGGGGAGGACATCATCGTGCCAGCGGGAAGAGCTCGCGGGAACATGGAGGCATGGATTTTCGCGTTGAGAGAAGAGAAGATGTCATGAAAGAGGCATAGTTGTTGGATTCTCATGAGTTGAGCACCACCGTGAGACCGCGAAAGGCATTCTCCAAGTCCACAGAGATTACATAAGGGGGGAAGGGGACTAAGAAAGCAGGAAAGGAGCGGCGACAGTAAGGTAAAGGGTAAGGTGAGGGAAAACTATATAAGTAAAGATATAGCAGTATATAAGAAATATAACGAAAGAAATAATAAAGTAATTTAATAAAGCTAAAATATAAGGCAAATAAAAAATTATAAATTTATAGTTTAATATTAAGTTAAAAAAGAAAAAAAAGAATTAAGAGAAGTAAGAGGTTTTATTTACCTTCTTATAATTATATAACTACTTATATATTATAAAGCTCTTATTTAATTACCTATAAAAAGAATAGTTATTAATAATAAGTACCTATTAAGTATATATAAATTTCTTATAATATAAACCCTTTATAAAGAATAATTATAGGTATTTTTCTATACTTCCTAGCTATATCTGCCTTCTAACTAGTTAAAATTAGATATAGGCATAAGTTTAAGAAGCAGCTATTAATCTTAAGATAACGCAGGACGCAGGCAGGAAGAACCAGTGCATTGCGTTAATGGTGATGGTGTTGGTTGGAATCTGATTATAGGTGAAGGGATTTGCAGTCGATGAGCAACTGATGCCCAGTACCATGGAGGATGACCGTGATATTTGGAGTATTCATTTAATACCTGATAGCCCTTGGTTTGGGACAGATTTGATCCTCGAAAATGTGATATTATTTGACATTGGTGCTGCAGTGGGAGTTGTGCCCCTTGACCTTAATCACAGACCATATGTGCGTTGCTCATAGCCAGACTCCGAGAATAATTCCCGATTTCCATTCTGACGATTAATCTTTTGCATAGTACTTCTCTCCAGTCCATTGAGCCTATAGGACACAGCCTTGGGATTATATTATACATATTTTTACATATCATTAATTCCTTGCGTGAGGTGGGAAATCGAGGTTGTAACTCGCAAGTAACTTGACATGAAAAGATGACAAGATCGGCAGAATTTCTACGGACTTCTGGATCTCTTTCAGGTTTCTAATTTTGCTTTTAGATTTGTGTCTTCTGATAGTTGGGAACAACAGCCTTCGAGTTCCCTGGTTTAGGTCACGTCCCAATTGGAAGTAACAGCGCCTTGTGTACATGCATTTCGACTCTCAGCCCTTGGATCCGAAACATGTCATGAATTTATAGGAAGAACTTTGACCAAGGCTGGTCTGTACGTTTTCGGGTCTGAAAGGGAGCAAAGAGCATGCACGAAATGGGCCATCACGAAGTAGCCATCCATAACTCAAACACCACAAGCAACTGAGACGACGGCCGTAGAAGTACTGCAGGTCACAATAATGATTGACAGCACAATATTTGGTCCCCCTCCTCGCGATAAAGTTGATCCATATCTTGAATGGTAAGAAGAGGCGGAGTTACAGCAGAAGGGGAGAATGCTTATGATCATTTGTTGTGAACTAAAATCTATTTATGCTATATAAGCAATAATTATATGACTTTTATCAATAAATTGAGTGAGACAACGTGTCCGAGTGGTTATGGAGACAGACTTGAATTCATTTCGGTTATCTGTTGGCTTCGGCCGCGTAGGTTCGAACCCTGCCGTTGTCGACCACTAAACTCATCCCTTTCCTTTTGGTTTTCTTTTTTCTTTTCTGGAATTCGTTACTAGATACATGAAAAATAACAATGAGCACAGATTGAAAGCATCCAGCAGACAAATGGTTCAAGGCAGGCAGAAGTAATGAGGTCAATGGTAAAAGCGCTATGAGGACAATGTCTCTCGCCTCTAATTATTGACGAGTATCGTCTGCAACAGACTCGACTCAGTTTCCGCCAACATAGGCTGTGCCCAGATATGGGCGCCTGGCTGTGGTTCAACACCAGCCAGCATATAGTCATCGTAGCATCACCATATCCATCATGACCACGAAACATCGAGACCTCCCCGTTAACCTTCCACAACTCTCCCCTACTTGAACTCCTCGGTTCTTCGCATATTTCTTATAAATTGAACGCCCATAAAGTGTGTATTGTTCGGGAACGCAGGAAGTGACCTTTCGTAGTTCGAGCGTCGACGGGAGACCTTTCAATTGGATGAAGCCAACTGCGTCTTGCCGATAATGTCAGAAGCCCGTGAGCAAGGCGTCGCCTCCGTCGTTGGATGGCAATCGAGATTGATGCTAGTAGTTCGGTCAAAAAGCGTTAGCCAATAGTCATATCGGAATTACCTGTGCAAGGTGAAGTAGAAGCCTGGAATGCTATGTAATCAGGGCTTAAATATGGTCGGAAGCATATACGTGAAGTGGCTTGAATATAAAGTGAACACAGAGATGTGAGGTTCGCCTACCGATGCAGCCGAAACTGTCGTGGTGAAGTTCGCCGATATACCGAGTACACCTGGGTGCGTCGACGATGAATGGAAGAAAGTATAACGACTCGATCCTAGGCAGCGGGAAGTCTTGACAATATTTGGAATTCAGCTGAGCGTGACGAGTCTTGTTCTGACCATGCCCTAAGTTCCTTGACATATGTGAACAAGATGTGACCAGTACAACAAAGCTCATACGATCTTCCATAGCTTACCGTGCTATTTACCACCAATCCTTTTGCTTGTTGGTGCGTGGCCCACAAGCTTCTTCAAACGATGCCTTTACGAGTGGCATTTTGAATGGGCCAGTCTTAACCCTTATATTTCATCGCCGAGCTCTCCTCCTAGAATTTCACAGCCCCTGAGCCACTCGCGTAACTGCCGCAACTCTGCGTTGTGCAAGGAAGCCACGGCGGCGACGGCGACGGAAGATGTGGAGAAACAGTAGTTCAGTGATAGTAAAGAATGGAATGAAAGATGAGGAGCAACGGGATGAAAGTTTGGTGAAGTGTTGTGATTGTTCGCGAGTGTGGCAAGATGTGAATGTTGATGAATTGAAAAGATGGTTCAAGGTGGAGGAGGAGGTGAGGAAGAGAAAGGCCAACCCGGTTTGTTGTCAGGATAATATCAGAAATTGTATAAAGGTGCGGTTGAACTATGCTGAGGAAGCCTTAATCTTGTCGTAGACCCAGGGCAGGACACCAGACGCCGGCTCAACAGCTGTGACTGATATTGGGGATAGTTCATCGCCCATCTCTCCGCCCGGAAGTTCCCAGTCCCTGAGCCACTCGGGCTCGATGGCCGTGACTGTTGTCAGGAACTGACAATTGGCCATGATGAAGGAGTCATAAAGGAACCATCTGTGGTTGATCCCTACAAGGCCGCTTTCAGGAGATGAACCTCTTTACACGCAAGCCTGTGAATACTATTTTTCTTTTCAAGTTTGCTTGATCCTGGACGTTGTGCAAAGAGATTCTCGTCAATTGACTCGAAAGCTTCAATAAACCCGACCAATGCACAGATAGTTGAATGGACAGAAGCAAAAGAGCGTTATCATGAAGTCCATGGTTTCACCGTAGTTTCCTTGTTTGCAGGCTCGCGCAAGGTGTATGTGGGCCGTCCAGAGGTGTACAAGATTGTCGTTTGGTTCATCCAGACGGGACAGAGACAAATTAAATTTAGCCGATAAGTAGGTCGTAATAAATAACCCTAACATTTCAAGAACATCTAGTTCTTTATGTTGTTTCCGCTGCGACCTGGACTTTCAACCCTCACTGTTACCGGCAAAACGTTACATCCCAGCAACGAAACACGGGCGCAACATATATAACCACGGATAACACATCCCCCAAACCCGACAGATCTTTTTATCAACAAACACTCCTACCTATTGCGTCTCTGCGTTGGCTCCCAACTGCGCGCATGTAAGTTCAAAAGAGACAGGGTACCTTAGCTGAGATTAAATTAGCAGAGCATCGGCTCTCTCGTCTCAGTTGAACTTGTCTCTTCCTCTACCGAATGGAGAATCCCCAGAAGTACTTCTTTAACCCGTCAGAAGATACTTGTGATGACACATCAGAACTGAGAGAGCTCGAGCCGGACATCTATGTCGGTTGACACGCAGCATCATTTTTCAGTGCATCGGCTCCTTTTTATAGGTAAGTATTATCTACTAAGTAGGTACACACCCATAGTCCAGTACAGCCGGCGCAGCTTGGCCAACTAATAAGGCACGAGGAGAATGCACTGAAGTGACACTATGCAATATATGATGGGTGTATTGTTTTGAAGTTGTCCCCAGAATTAGTATTTACGCACCGTCGTTCTCCCATCAGCATATCGTCTCAAATCTATGACTGGACCTTGTCCAACCGGTGAAGTCGTAGCTTAGCTTGCCTTCCCTTTGCAAAAAGCCTACTTTTCAAGTGCATGCTGAAGCATTTGCGCAGGAAATTCGCCCATGTCAAAAAAACATACAGGCATACGCTCCCAGGTCATTCAAATAGACTTTTGACCAGACAATAAATTCAGAATTAAGGTAGCCTGAAAGATCTGGGTAACAATGTCATTTGTCGCTACAGCAAGCAAGATATCATGAGCGTCAATGTTAGATCGCACCTCACTTTCAGAACGCTGTTACCATTCATACCAACGACTTTACAAATCATCTCCCAATGGTACAACCCATGTCGAAGTCAGTGTGTTAATTTCCACTTGTTGACACCAAATGTAAGCGACAACTCCTCTTGATCCGCTGGATGTGATGCTTACGATGGAGAGGTGAAATGTTCAGTAAGACTCATACCTTTGCGAGTTTCTTTGAACTGTTTGAATACATGAAAGTCAGCAGAAACTTTCTTCCACATACGAAAACCCCCATTGCATAAATAAATTGACGATATTGGCACAATGAAAACCGTGGTCATCAACTTGAGGCATGATAAGGTTGGCCCATGCCCCATATTTTAACCTTACCCCACGATCGACCGTTTGAACCGCATGGCGCAAGCCAGGATCTCTTCACTGACGGAAGGTCCATACCTTTACCGAAACAAATGAGCATCGCCCAAAAGTCAGTTTGACCTCCCTCCCAAATCATGCATGAATGCTCCCAACAAGCAAGACTCGGACACGTTGTCTGATGTTGATTTATCGGCAAAGTAGTTATGTTTATATATCTAAACCTCACGATGCACTTTTGGTGTTTTCGCCGCTCAAGTAGGAAAGAGCGACACACAGAACTACGGCTTCTCGTCTTCTTCTTTCTTTGCTTCTCTTTGTTTTCGGCAAATTTTAAAGATGTCGCCCAATATACCAAGAAGCATTTTTGGCGAGGCATTTTTATTTGGCGTCTTCGTGGCCTCTACGTGAACAATGCTTCTCTGAAATGAAAGGTCATACTCTCGGAACCTATAAGCTTCACGTAGATACCAGGCATTCCTCAGAAACTGGTCTTCTTTTAATAAAAAAGCAAGATCGCCGGGGTCTCTGGGAGGACTCGAGACATTACCATGCAGCAATCAATTTATGTTCAATTTCTCTTCATCGTTTCTGATTATATTTCTTGGCAGAAACAATTCTGAGGCTTTCATAAATAGATAGGTTCATCTCTCACACTTCATGTCATACATGAGCGTGCAGTCGAGACCTCACTCCCAACACAAAGAGAAACTTGGGAGGGCCCAAAATGGCTTTCAGATCAGAAAGAATCCAGGCACCAGAGTGTAAAATTTGCGATGCCTTTAAACCCCAGCCGTTCAAAGGACATTGCACAGTAACACCGTGTTTCACACCAATACCTCACACATGCACTTTCAAGAAGGCCTCAAAGTGACGACAATAATCCTTTCACTTTTTAAATCTAGGTATTCCGGCACTTACGCGTTTTGAAAACACGAGTTCGAGGTCTCTGCTGGGTTATCCCTAGGGAGCAAGAAAACTTCTGATGTTAAACCAGGGTGCCAATATAAACTAGTCTAAAGACTTTCTAAGATATACTAAACTTACCTGAGTCTTTTCATCACTTAGAGAATAGGTCCTAAGTTTTCTTGTCTCCCCTTGGTTGTGAGGCTATGCTTGGGCACCAGCATGAGCCATGAATGAGGCCAGCTAAACACGCCCTACCCTGTGGAAGTGTGAGGCGAGCGCAATTACTTGATAAAAGCTTAGGGACGTTCTTGTCGGGGTCCTATCGCAAAGAAGTCTAATATTTACTTTATTTATGGCATTACTATCAATAAAATATGTTCAGGCCTGGGCATAGGTCTTTACATGTGAGCTCGTGTAAGTGATGACTCTTGCTCACTCTGGTCCAATCATAGTGTGGAAATGCATCGCCACGCTCATTCACGCATCTTCACTGCCTAGTCTGTGACTGATTTTCACGTTTATTTTCATTTGCAATGTTACTCATTCAACTAATTTCCTTGTTGGGAGTTGGGGTTTAAATATCCGTCTTCACCCACCAGTATCGATACAAGCACTGTGCTCGGTATAGCAGCATGTTCCCGATGCCCACAAACCATCAACGTCCTCGCACCTAAAGGGCGAACGTTCATTTACCTCAGGCGGCAGAACTCTCGTATTCTGATCTGCGATGACATATCCTCGAGAAGCCATTCGAAAAGGCTGACATTCCCTGCTAATACTCTAACCAGAAAACAGGATGACAAAAGCCTTTCCTTCTCAATGTCACGAATCGACCAACGAAGGACCAAGAACAAAATAAAAATGTCTTACATTACCTCAGGCTATTTCCTGATACTTAGTCATTCTTGGAGTCGAGACTTTAGGGTATCAGAGCAACTGAAGAAGGAGGGAAGCCCGTCGAGTGACGGACGAACCCTCCGCTCAACGATAGTATCCCTGTGACGCACGATTCAGATTCGACGGCCCCCGATGCCTTGACCGACTGGCTTCCACCACCGCCGGCTCCTGATTGCGGTGATCTGGCCTCCAGCCAGCAGGGTATAAGTTCTGAATCTGGACCTGAGACGCTTCGTGATAGGCTCTTGCTCTCTGATACATCTCTTCATCAATCAACCGGTTCTGGTATAAGTGATCAAGAAGGAAGAAGTCTGGACGCATCTGCCGCCCCGAGAGACCGTTGCGAAAGTGCTTTGCAATATGATGCATGCGCTTCCGATAGCAGGCCTCAGCATCAGCTTGGTCGTGGGAGGATGATCTGAATGTACGGTCACAGAACCAGCAGATACACACCGTTGGGAAGATGTTGCGAAGGTGGAAATCCGTAATGTGCGCAATCCAGCGGGATTCATCATTCAAGTCGAACACGAAATCGCAGTCCCCGAAGCCGAGGAACTCACATGTGAGTAACGATGGTGTCACATATGGCTGCGACTGGGGTACAGTGGTAACAGGAGGAGGTTCTGTGTAAACCGAAGAGGTTTGAGGCGTTGGTCTGTCAAAGCAGGAAGACATGAATGTCGAGCTGCTGGCGGTTGACATGCTGATGCTCTGAGTAGGAGTGCCATTGTTGTCTCTCTCTGAGAGCATCAAGCTTGGGGCATAATAACTTGGGATCATGGCAGGGATAGCATCCCGTGTATGACGTTGTCCTCTCATCGCGTTGTGCTGGGTTATGAAGCCATTTATATCATTGGCGAGGTCCCCCATTATCACGAGGAAGACAGCAATGGCAAAAGGGTATGGGTCAACTGGCCAAGGATAGTGTGGGGGCTGTTTGTGATGGAGTTACACGTTTTTTAGGTTGGTGTTGAGATGCTAACACAAGCAGTGACTCGTATGGACAAACGGGAAGAAGATAGGACAATGGATGATAGGAAGTGAGATGCCGCGCGGGGCTTCGATCTGTTGTGACAAAGGCAAGCAGAGGAAAGATGGACGGTGAAGAACAAAGAGAAACCGGAAACTCGAGCTTCTTAACCTTAACTCAACACGCCAAGTTCGAGCGTCAGCACGAACACCCTCTCTCAAAGGACCGGCCCGTCGACAATCTATATGAACCATCCATCGGTCAACGATGCTTCCCATTCGTCATCACCCTTCAAACACATCACCAACGTGATGAACGATAACACACTGAATTCACTGGGAATGCAGTGCAGACTTGCATGGCTTCAGTGCATGCAGAGAACCATGTCCATCAGCATGCCATCATAGCAGAATGATACACGCCTCGGACGAAGCCGAAGACAGTCGGCATAATTGCAGGCAGCGCGACCAATTGGAGGTGAGGGTGTCTTGGTTGCCAACGACGTGGGCACCATTGATGGGTTTACTACGCAGAGTGTGAGTGACACCAGTTCACGGTCGGATTGAAGACAGAGACAATCAATGGCTTCAATTCCTTTGCACTCCATGATCCTAGAAAGGGACAATGAGTTCGACGTGTTGGCAAAATGACCTTTGAAGTAGTTATAATGCTATTTCTGGAGGAAACTGGAGCGCGGGGAAACACAAACTCCCCCAAAATTGAGGCTCAAGACAAGGTACGTAAATCAGATGGTGTCGAGGTGACTCTTAAGCTCTTGACGCTTGGCAGTTTAAGGAGGATATACCCTGGTCCATCAGAATACCCGTCTGACAGTCTCACCCATGACATGGGAACATCATCATATGCACAATTCTAATTACGTTGGAGATTCAGCTTTACACAATTAAGCTGACGATGGACAGAAACTGAAGATAAGCTCGACCACAGTCTAATATCAGATCATATATCTAGGAATTGACGAGGAGCCTTTCCTCGACTCTATCAATAGCTCTCGAAATACACGCAACACGCCGACAGCTTAATACCCGGGTTATCACCATCTCGATACAAAACATACTTTCCATTATGAGTCAAACAGCCATGATAACCGCCAATGCGACATGCCGCTCTGAGACATCTCCACGCCAAGCAGGCTGCCATACGAACATCCTATTCCAATTCCCCATACCGAACTTAATTAACCGTGAAGTGAATGCAGGTAACATGAACGCATGAGTTGGCATGCATTGCCGAAGCGAACATCAGCCCTATGTGGGTAGGGCAGAGAAGTGTCCAGGGAGATGCCAAACGAGGAATGCAATGCGATGGTGGCATGTTTTAAGTTGTCTAATAATAAGCCAACGTTGATACTATATGGATACACAACTCGACTTATCCCCGAACTATCTTACCCAAGCTCAGCAAAAACTTAAGATTGATTTATGAACTGTGTCGTATTTTGGGAAGTATAGTCCTCTTTCAGGATCGATTTCTCCGTATTTTAATCTTTCCATCAAGCCAGCTCCTACCGCTACACGTCCTCGGGATACTTGCGATGATCGATGATTGTTATCTCGTGTAACCATACCACTTCGCTCCGGACCTCCAATCAGGCGATCGTTGGGTAAGGCAAGTTTATGACGATAATATTCGTAATTCATTAATATAGTAATCTAACCCTAAAGGCCGACTCCGGTCAGCCAACTGTAATAGATCTCTTCAGAAGATCCTATATATAAGCGGCTCTCGCCGTCTCTGATAGTATGTCGTGTGGAATGCGACCTTGCCGAAATGTTAGATGCAAGAGTATATATGCAAATGCCGGTATTGGGCTTTATAGATCGCCCAGCAACCAAGACCGTCATCGAGGCCTTTGGCTTGATAGGATGGAAGCTAGCGTTGTCAACCTTCTTCAGGGCTACACAGCACCCTTGCCTTTAGAATGACATTGCGATATTGCAAATGTCCACCATGCTCATCGCCATGCTTTATCACCCCAGGGAAAGCAACACAGCAGATCTCCCTCCCGGTCAGAGACTCTTCATCCTCACCACCCAAGTCTTCCATTGTCTCTGACTCAAACATGACCCTCTGGTGTGGTAAGACCGTGGGCATATTCACACGCAGGACGGCCTTTTGAACAGCGACAAGGCGCGCAAGCTCGATTGAGTTGTTGACAAGAACTCGTAGCCCACTATCTCGAGCCTCGGATGGTGATGTGCCACATAGAGCGTCGAGAATACGTGTTATTCTGCTTAGGATAGCTTCTGTGACGGATGATGTAGATTCTTTAAGAGATGAGCCATCTCGCCGGAGAAGTGAAAGGGTAGAGGAGCGCCATTGGTTAATGGCCTCATCAGAATCAGCTACAAAATTTAGCAATTGGCCTTCTTGAATAGTGAATTACATACCATATGAAGAAACAAGCTTTTCCAGCTGCCGAAACTGTTGTGTTTGCTCTTCTGACAGACCGACAAAATAGGCGTCAAAGACCATCTCGACTAGTATCTTTGATACAATCGATTGCAAGAGGTAAACTTTATGTGTCGATGCAAGCTCCTCGTACATAGGCACCAGATCATTGACCTCAGCCAGCGTTGCTTCATCCAGCTTCTCCAGATCTGCACATGTCAGTACTTCGACCTTGTACTCAATGGCAATATGACTTACTTATCTTGGCCTTACGAAAGTTCACAATAACCCAGTTCTGAAGACCATTGCCCAGCCGAGCCATTCCATCACCAAACACCTCATCGCATTCTTGCCCATCTGTCCTTGTGCTATTACTCACCCACTCTTTCAGACCACGCACTTGTCCTCTTAGACCTCGAATCTCATCATCTCGCTCTTTGAGCTCTCGTCGTAGAACCTCCCAACCCTCTCGAAGCTCTTCCCGTTCGCCTTCTCGCACTTCAACCTCAGCACGTAAAAGTCGTAATTCAGTATCCGTCCGTAGGTATTGCTGGTTCAAGGCACTATGCTTCGCTTGCCAAAATGTCGCTGTTTCGCTTTCGTTCTGGCTCAGCTTGTCCAGTTCGCGATGGAACTCTCGCTCCATGATCCCCATCTCCTTCTCCAGATACGCAATCCTCTCATCCTTCTCTTTCAGCGCAGCCTCAAGTTCCCGTTCCCTCTCTTTCTTCTCCCTCTTCTCTCTCCTTTCTTTGCGTTCCTTATCACGGTCCTTTTCCTTTGTGCTCCCGCTGCCTGTCACTGCGTTCTCCTTCTCTTTGAGCGGGGCACCGCCGGTGGTGTCAAGGGTCTCCTCGGGGTTCGCGTTGGCATTGGAGGCCATGGCAGCTCGGGGAGGCATAGCAGGCATGCTGTTGCGATTGTTGCTTGAGGCGCCGGTGCGCAAGGTATGGGCAGGTGAGGTGCCGGGGCCTGGACGGCGCTTTTCAGATGTGTTCATTGCGGTAACGAGGCGGAGCTTTTGCTGTAAGGTAAGATCGGATGTATAGCCCTCCACTGCAGAGGATCGTCAAGTCGTGGGGTCCGAGGCCAGGCGGTGCTGGTTCCGCATTGTCGCTGGCATCAAGTGCTGTATAGGATCGCAATGCTCGAGGTTTGCGTAGGTGTTATGTTGAAGAGATGACGTTTGTCTAGTATTGTGATGCCTGGAGGTGAGCGATTGATTAGAATTCTAGGCGGCCGCCCACTGAAGGTACGCTAATTCGGCTTGTCGCGAACCCAGTATCAGACCCCGGATCACTGATATGAAGTGAGATGGATGGGATAGCTCGAGTTTTATGATGGCATGGATTAATATAATCTTGAAACATTAAATTACAGCAGATTCTAGGCAGTCAGTAAAAGGAGCCTCTACGTTATCCAGGAGCTTCTATCTACTGCCTTGATTCCATATTGTTGTCATGTCTGTTACCGCTCTGTCAGCCTTTAAGCATCATGATACATGGTTGGTAATCCGTAATCAGACATCAGAGGGAATCAAGTGCCAACGTAACAAACTCAGTTCATCTGACTGGCTGTTTCATGTTTTAATTTCTCGCTTCTGTCGTTATCCCGCTGCCTAACAGGAAATCATGTCTAGGCTTCTCAGGCCAAGACCTTCAAAGCAGTATTCGCCCCAAGATGCTCACGCAGCCTCCAGGCTTCAGGATTAAAACCCGACCTCAGCCACAACCTCATAAGCTTCGTCGTCTGTCCCCTCAATCTTCTTCGCCCCCATTCGACACAGCGTAACCTTGTCGAGGGGCATGTCTTTCAACCAGACGTAGTCATCATGTGAACTGACGATGTCCCTTGCATCAATCGTCAACTTCTCTCGTCTTCTCCCGCGGCCATCTTTGACATAGATTGTATTGACCACAGTTGCGTGGAGTACCAATGGTCTGTCATCCTTGACCATCAGTCCAGCTTCCTGAAACGTAGTCTTGATCTGTTCGCAGAACTTCTGCAGGATTCCCTCAGTATCAACCGGTGGCGCATACAACACCGAAGTCTTTTCGGCGTTTTGAAAAGCATGTAAGCCCTTGAGAGTTATCGAAAGCCCCTCTTCAGCCGATGCCTTTCCAGTCCTTGCACTTGCAAGGAACTCCTTCAACATCAAGCTCTTCAACACCTCACTGGCCTGCTCAACGCCCTCATCTTTGAGGCTCATAACACCAAGTGTCAGATGCATCGTGCCGAGTGGACGCACTGCGGCCGGTGGGACACCAAAGCCAGAAGGATTCGTGACTTCTGTGCGGAAAGCAGCCAAGCTTCTAGCAAGCTGCGGCCCGGCCAGGGGAATGCATACGAAATGCGTCGGAGACGCCCTGACTGGTTTCGGCGGCATGGTTGAATTATCGAATTTGTCTTTCCGGGGCAATTTTGACCAGTCTCAGCGATACTGTACAAGTGTAACTGCGAATAGACAATATGTGACAATATGTCTATGACTTGTCTTGTCCGGCTGGTGAGGTTAGCAAGCGAAACTATGAGCATATATCGTGGGACTCCACTGGCTGAAAGAATGATTCAAAAGTCAAGCATACCCTGCCGTGGTAAAGGTTGTGAAATGACTTAACACGCTGTGTGTAACGTATCTGACGTTGGTCTGTCACACCTCGATGATGTCAGGTGTTCGTATCAACTGAGTTTGTGTTCGTAGATCGCGGTAACCCAAGCTATGTCAAGATTACCCCACCAACGTCAGAGCTCCCAGGGTCGGAGGTGCAGTTCATCAGTCACTTATCAACTAATCGATAAGTGGTTTCAACAAAAGAAACGTTAAGATAGACCTCGTAGGATAGCAGTTTTTGGTCAATGCGTCAGAGAACCAAGTAGCGTTACGAGCAGAGTTCCTTTTGCTCCAATCCCAAGCATTTTGTCAAATCTATCTACAAAGTCTGCTTCTGCTTCTGCTTCTGCTCTCAACAATGCGTGTCACAAAGGCTGTTCAATTCAAAGAGGGGTGGAATGACATTTGATGCCATTCCGCACTACCTCGTAACGCCTCCAACATGATTGACATTGACCTGACGGGTCGTCCTCTAAGCCTCAAGCCATTCCAAGGCCTGGGGTATCTGCTTCGATGAACCCGGCCATTTCCTTTTCTGAATGTACCCAACACAACAAGTATTTGTTGAACCGAAAATGTTCCTATCGAGGTTCCGTGACCAGAGCCCAAGTGGCAAGCCACGTCTGTAAAAGACTGCCTCCATTTGATCGTGAACGCGCCATCTCGTAGGCTTTACGATGATGGGAATAAATGCGTTATTCCCTTGACTCGTAGTACTGCTTCAAGAGTTTCTCGACCTCGGCGTAATCCGTTTGAACGGCTTCGAAAGCGTCTTTGATGTGCTTTAGACATACCTCAGAATCATCTTCAGGAGAGCCGTCCAGCTTTTCGTGCTTGCCATAACGCTGAATCTTTTCGCAACCATCCCTGATTTTGATGAGTCCGAGGGTCGCTGATGAGCCCTTGAGGAAGTGTCCAAGAGACGAGAGCTTATCAAGATCTTCCTCTTCCCTAAGTAATGTCGACACAAGGTCAGAAATTAGCCAATATTCCCAACCATGAAGCGGCGTTGATATTGGACCACTGTTTTATAGTTTGAACTCACAATGCCTCCTTTATCTGTTCAAACGTTTCTTCTGCTTGCTCGAAGAAGCCAAATACAATAGAAGAGCTGAATTCACAATCGCCTGGCTCGTCCATTTCGAGGATCTGCTCGAAAGTAGTCATATCGATGTTGTCACCGAAATCGATATCGTCACTCTGGGGTTGGGTTTGTTAGCAACCGTACTCGAACCGATTCGCAGTCAGGATCAAGCCCACCTTCTCCTCGGTTGGCGACATTTTGGCTGTAGTATTCGTTTATACTCCTGGGACAAACGTATTAGGTAGGTATGATGAATCGAGACAGTGCTGAAAAGCTCCGGGGTCGTAGTAGCGTGGGTCCGCGGAGGAGAACGATCGGAGAGGAGAAATGATGGAGCCTAGTAGGTAGCCTCGGGGTTAGAAACTCTGGTACAAGAGAGATCAAACAAGCGAGCGCGAAACAAACAAAGACAAGGATTCAAAAGCTAGAGCCACTTGGACTTGGACTTGAACGAGGAGAGGGAAGATTTTGAAGGTTGGAGGTGTTACCGCGGGAGCGGAATGGAACAAGATGTGAGTGGCTGGCAAGGGGTCTCAGATCAAGCGAGGCCATGGCGCCCGAGTGACGCTTGGTTTCTGTCAGGGCGGTAGAAGTAGCTGGAGAAGGGTGGCCGTTGCGCTATTCCAAGGGTTTGCTTGTACCTGAGGTTGATTGGGGGGTGTCCCTTTTTTTGAGTTCGCGGGAGCTGCAGCTATCCTGGGGTATGACGATATACAAGACAGGAGCTAGATAGATATCGACGCCTTTAGACAGAGGAACAGCGAAAAGAGAGCAGAAACGTGGAAAGGAGAGCACGAGGAAGAGTAGAGTCAAAGAAAGGGCCTGAGAGATATGGCTTGTGCTTGGTGGAAGGCGGCGGTTAACAAGTGTGTGATGTCGGTTGCTGGTATGTGGGCAGTTAACTCATAAGTGAGGGGCTAACGATGGAGAGGGAGGGTCCATTTGCATTCGAAATCAACCATCCATCCACCCATTCATGGATAGTCAAGTCAGGTAAGGCAAGGTACCTCGGAGCTCAGGTAGCCATATTCAAAGCCATTATCCTGGGACGAGCCATCGCGGGTGGGGTTGAGCCGCTCTAGCAGATGCAGGGCGTCAAAACCGACTGGACTGTGATGTGCGAGGAGACAGACGGGACAGTGAATGAGTGGGGGATGGTGTTGTGTTTAGTGCGGAAAAAACCACATTTTTTAGGCGATGGGTCGAATAGAGCAGAGACATTCATGTCCATATTGGGGAGGGTAAAGAAAAGAAAGAAAAGGAATGGCTGGCGTGAAAGAGAGAACATGAGAGAAGCAATTCAAGGGTATCGGGAAGACAGAAATATGCATATCTTGGCTTTTGGTAGGGAGGAGAGATATGCGATGCGATCCATGATGCAATGTGATTGATGTTTCCTTACCTAGATCTAATCAAAGTGGGACGTAGGTGGGCAGTCGATTCTTAGGTGTAAAGATACTGAATAAGGGTTTTTGTCAAGATTATCAATCTATTCCAGTCTCGAGCCGTGCCCTCTCGTACGGGCAAATATCGACTGAGCGCGTGTGGTTGACACTGACTGATTGACTGACTGTGAATGTGTGAGTGAGTGTCCCAGCGACTTGGAGGTGCTGTTCTGCGGGAGATCCCGAAGCGGGCTGCTCTGGTACGACTGACGACAGTGGCTGGATATAGCGTCACAGGTCTGAGGCACGAGCAGGGAGTAAAATTCGGGGGTGGAGGGGCATGGGCATATACAAAAATGAGAGAGAAGCCGTTGAGGTTTTCGTACCCTAAAGGAATAGATGCGAATGGAGATGGCTTAGGTCGATAGGGAGAGAGAGAGAGAGACAGGGCAGGGAGAAACAGAGGAGAGTTCCAAGGTTTGTAAATGGAATCTTTTGGTGGCTGCTGTAGGCATTCACTTGAGGTGAGTTCGAATGGAAGAAGGGGCCTGCCGATTACGTCGGTGCTCACTGTTTTGTACAAGAGTTCACCAAAAGAGACAAGAGAAGAGTGCAAAAAATCGGGGAGAGGACACCAAAATGCACCAGGAGAACCTAGCTGTTGCATCATTTGGTTCCATTCCGTCGAGAAGCAGAAGGCCTAGATTCCACAGCTTCCATTGGGGGAGACACCAATCCAGAATCCGTAAAAGATCGTCCAACTCTTGTGTCTTTCTGTTGGCTTTACTTTTTTTTTTTTTTTTTTTTTACGTCTACCAAAATCATGTCAGTGCCATCCATGCTCATGCTCATGTGTACGTGCGCTCCCGTGCGATAGCTTAATACCAGAAATATTCCTCAACATTGCTGACTCTGCACCAGATCGATGTCACCGCTGATTAGGTCCTTAACAGACCATCCCCTCTAACTATTTAGGAAGCTCATTGTCTTTTCCGTTCTGGCTCTCCGGGACTCTCAACCGCGTCCGCCTAGCGTGGAAATAGTCCGCTAATCCATAACGACAACAGACAAACAAGCACCACTAACCAGGATACCAAAAGTATAGATGCTACCATGAGGCGGAACGTTTTCTTCGGGCTGTATCCGGAATTATATTCTTGATAGGCAGTGTTTTATGATCCCCTCCTCCAGATGCTGACATACAGATAACGCGCAGCGTACAGCATACAAGGCCCCAGCGTCTCCTGATATCCAGCACACCGGTCATAACCCGGCGTATGGCTAAATACGCAAATCTCCAGCTGTGGCATATCCCCGGGACCCGGGAAGTCGTCACCCGGAGCTGAAGCAGTTCACTCTCTTGCGTTCCTCCACTTGCTGCTGGCTCTATCACTTGTACGGACAGTGTGTTATGCAGTGGATCTTTGAAGACCTCTCGGCCGAGACAAACACAACAGGACGCCGCTTATGCCTCGTCTCTCGAGCTCACTGCTTTGATACTATACCTAAAAGATAAAAACTCGAGATACTCAGGCACAACGTCCCGAGACAAGACGCAACGTTCACCGAGCCACCGGTCCACACTCCCAACTCTTGGTATTTCTCAGACAGGAGACGATCGGCATCTCGGCCGTAGGGCACGGGAGCTTCTCTCAGAAGATTTCAAGTCTTGGGAACCAAAGCTCCCCAGCACTCACAAGCTTAGGATGACATGCACGCCGCCCTATGCCCGCAGGCCCACCCGGTTGAATTCGACTCGAGAAATTGGACCCGTTCAATGATTCGAAACCCCACGCAGATTGCGCCCTCGATATTGAAGCTGCTCTTTGTCTCTCACACCAGCCACCGCAATCAAGACTTTGGTGCGGCATTTTCTCCGTCGCAGACCAACTGCATCTGTTATGCTGTATTCCTGTGGCTTGCGTTGCTCTCGCTTCCACTGATATTGGGTCCTGCAGGGTCTGTTGATCAATCTCATTAAGCACCCCTCACTGCCGTTTCCGCCGGGGCCCTCGTGCACGGTCACGCTTGAATGCTTGATGGCGGGGTTTGACCACCGGCGGCTGAACAAATGCTTCTTTTACTTGGTTATCCCTTCTCTAGGATGGCATGATCAAGCTGTTCAAAGTCACGAGTTATATAAAACTTGGTCTTTTAGACTTTGAACTTGGATTCAAGTCCACTTAACATGGCTTACGGAGGGGCAGTGTGCTTGACAACACAACAACTCCCACTACGACTCAGCATCTTATCAAGCTATCCATGTCTTGAGACTTTGATATTGGGTACCCACCATATTAAACCTCACCGCAAACTGTCACAAAAGAGCTTCTAGTGCACGACCCAGATCTGTAGCTGCACATGGCATCGACGAGCGGCATAATCGGCAGCTCTTGTTGCACATATCAAACATCAGAGTCGAACCACCAATGACCCAATTCCCGGGAAGTTTGTAGCACAGCTAAGCCCTTTACTTCAAACTATCATGCACAAGAGTCATGAACCGCACCTGAAGGCCTCGACGGGTGACCATCTCCCATTTGACTCAAAGCTGTAAGACCCTTTTATCAATCACACGCGGAACAAGTTTCATTCGAGGCCTGCAATGCACCCTCCTGCGATGTGATAACTCGTCCACCCCGCAAACCGGTTTTGACTCACTCTTCTCAGCTTGGCCGCACGATTATGGTGGGTATTCCTCCGTCTTATTTTTGCTTCTTTTATTTCTTGCACACTTGGAGGGTCCGACGTAGCAGCCCTAGATGTTCTATAACGTAGTAGAAATGAAGCAAAAGTGACGTGGCGCTCATTTGCTTCCAAGACGACCCTGAGCGGGTCGTTTTTGCTTGTCAGTTGATGCTGATCCTGGCCCCGGCTGCGGAACGGGAGTGGGGCGGTGAACGGACCCCGCGCCGTGCTCCTTGGGCCGGCGCGGAGCCTTGCCGATAAATGCCAGGGTCGAGTCGAGTAAGTTACCTAGGAGCCCTCTCCTTACAATGATAGCTTTGTAAGAATGTCACTTATTCAGAAGATTTCAAAGTCTGTTGATACTCGGACATGATTCTAGAACAAGCGGGAGGAAGTTCACTAAGTAATCGATCATGTTAGGAAGCCTGCTCCTATAATGCAAGGCTGAAGCTGTGTGCGCCAAATATATTATCAACCAACTACGCTCTTAACCCATATACCCTTGTGTTATCCAATCTCTTTACTGCTTATATAAATAAATAATCGGTTTATCGTCTTGTGTTTAGTGGCTTCATTCTAAAACATCACCTTGGACGCCACGCTCAATAACCAGGCTGCATCTCTCCAGCCGCCTTCGTCGGTTCCTGGGGGTGGAATACGCTCTTCTGGGGCTGTCGATATGCCTGCCAGATGGCGTGAGGACCAACTACGGGAGCGGCCGAGTTGAGAATCTCCTTCCTGAGGAGTCTCGTCACTATCATCTTCTGAGTCCTCATCGTCTTCCTCTACGGAGAAGAGGGACCAGACATTGCCGAACCAAGTCCCTGTGTTAGCTTGGCCCTTGCGCACGAGGCGTCGCACGGTAGCTTCATCATCTTGGGACAAGTCCTGCTCAAGCTCCTCGAGCTTCTCATCGAGGTTGACAAAGTCAGGGCCGGGTAGATCATTGTTGACTTCTTGGTTGGGGAAGTAGGACCCATCGGCAGTCATTGAGAATTCCAGAGGTGAGTGGAGGAGACTCCTAGGTCGCGTCAAGCTGTGGGAGCGACTGTGAGTGCGGCTAGGGAAGCGACTGGCATATGGAGATGCGTCCTCAACAGTGCTACCGCGGCGACTAGCATGGCGGCTCGTAAGCTCACGCTCGCGAGCAAGTTCACTCTCAAAAGCATCCTCATCGGGGTCCATCCCTCCTAGGCTGGTAGAACTCTGACGCGAGATAAGCCAAGTCTGACCCTTAGACTCGCGAGCTTCGGAGCTCATGAGCGCGCCTGTCCTGAGCAGCCAATCGCTATCATTGCGATTACGCATGCTAAAGCTCATATCATCTTTGTGGCGTCTGGGCGTTGCGCGACCAGAATGAGTCTTGCGTGATGCGCCAGCCGCGAGATGAGACGCGGATTTGCTTTTGGCGAGAGGTGTTGAGGGGGTTCGGGTATGGGACCTCGAGCGCGATGCTGTTGGGGACCGAGCGAGAAGACGTGGTGTTGAAGGAGCAGACTTTCCCTGGATATAGGAGGGAATTGGATGGATAGGCGAGTGAGGGTGGGGTGCGATAGCGTCGGCAATGAGTTCGTCGTCGTTGAGGGGGAGTTTGGCGGTCAAGGGCGCGAGGGAGAGGTGGTTGAGGTTGGACGAGGAGCGATTCTTGCGACGAGATCGTTCGGCGTGTTGATTGTATGCAACATCCATGATGGCGATGGTATCGCTATCACTATAGATCGATGTGTTGGTGGTAGTTTGAATAAACAATAGCTACTACGGCAAGTAGTAGCTTTTATTAGCACGACACGCAGGTGGTTGAATGGCAGTGGTTGAGAGCAAATGCGGAGAGAAGTCAATGGTTCCTCAACCGGTAGTGGGCGATCGGCATGTGATGGCGAGAGCTACAAATAGAGCGTGAAACTGGGAATAGTAAATCAGCACAAAAAAGATGGGAAATGGAGCAAGTTTAAGAGGAGAAAGGGAAAACCTAAAGGGTCCATTCAAATTAGATAAAAATAAGGCGATGAACTCTTTAATCGCCGAGGCCCGGAATAGTTACGAAAATCTAGGTTGGTCGCTATTGCCTGTGAAGAGCTGATCTAGACGGAAAAGAGAAGAAGTGATGCAACCTAAAAAGCTCTTTCCCCAGGCCCTTGATCAGAACTTTCAAAGATGGCGAGTACATGATCTGGGAGTCATAGCATGTATCTTTCCCGCCCCAGCACCCCGCATCAGTACTTTACCCACCAGCTTAATCAGGTACCGCAAAAAATCTCGATTACGGGCATCGACACCAAATCTAGCAAATCCATCGCCGCTGGTTGCCCATTTCATCCACACCAAGAAAATATCACCACTTGCACGCTCGGCCTTGTCCGACAGACCAGAGCAGGTCGAACGACAGCTGCATACAGGCCTACAGTCTGCCCATTTTATACTACTGCAGTTACATCGACAGTTGCTGTGCTGTTGGTGAAGATTATCAGACAACTAAAGCTTGGCCTTGGTGGTGAGGCGAGAAATAGTCAAGATGCGCAATCTTCGCAACATTCGATTTGGACAATGCCAGCGCGATAATGTCACAGCTGCGTGTTGGGATCCTGAGAAGGATCAGGTTCTTGTCGTAGCCCAACCTTTTGAGGACAGCTGTGAGATTGAGTTGTTGAGAATCTCTGGAGATCGAGACATGTAAGTACATCGTCTATAGAATAATTTACACGCAATAGTCACTTACTCCATATAGCTCAGTCAGTACTGCAGCCAGCTGGGAGGCTCCAAACCCATCACCAGATCTCGTTGTCGACAAGGTCGTCAGTTTACAGTATCTCAGTGGTTCAGCAACTACATGTCTGGTCTTCGAAGGAGGTGACATTGTTACAGTCCGAGAAGACGACTTCTCAGACGAAGGTGCTCATATTGAGATTGTTGGCTCCATCGATGTTGGTATTGCTGCTGCGCGATGGTCCCCTGATGAGGAACTCCTCATTGTTGTCACAAAGGAGAACAATGTCATCTTCATGGGTTCAACCTTTGACCCAGTTGCTGAGATCCCCATGACAGTCGAGGACCTCAACGCATCGAAGCACGTATCCGTCGGATGGGGAAAGAAGGAGACTCAGTTCCAAGGTCGAGGTGCAAAGGCCATGCGTGATCCTACTATCCCAGAAAAGGTCGATGAGGGTTTACCCAGTCCTCACGAGGATGGTGCCACCACCATTAGCTGGAGAGGCGATGGCGCTTATGTGGCCATCAACTCGGTTCAAGAAGGCTCACGCCGTGTAATTCGAGTTTATTCACGAGAAGGTGAGCTGGACAGTGCAAGTGAGCCAGTTGATGGCCTCGAGAGTTCTCTGAGCTGGCGACCAGCCGGAAACTTAATGGCTGGTATTCAGCGAAAGTCAAACCAGATCGATGTGGTCTTTTTCGAGAGGAACGGTCTACGGCACGGCGAATTCACACTTCGTTCTCCTTCTGGGCCAGTTGAGGCTCATGAGAGAATACGTCTTGAGTGGAACTCAGACTCGACTGTCCTAGCGGTGATTTTCAAGGATATGGTTCAGCTATGGACTATGGGCAACTACCACTGGTACCTCAAACAAGAGATCCCTATCGAGGCTAGCTCGACATGTTTGTCATGGCATCCCGAGAAGGCTTTGCGCTTTGCTGCTACTTCAACAAATACTGTCATTGTGACAGAGCACATCTTCCATACAGCAAGGGGATCGTGCCACCCGCCGCACGACAATGGTGCCGTTGCGGTAATTGACGGCGAAACAGTCAAGTTGACTCCTTTCAGAACAGCCAATGTACCGCCCCCTATGTCAATGTTCGATATTACGGTTCCTGCAGCGGCAGTCGACGTTGCATTCGGCCGTGACAACACGTCCTTTGCGGTTCTTCACCGAAAGGGTATCGAAGTTTATGAGTGGCCCGTCAAAAACGGTAGATCCATCAAGCCGAAGCTCTCCAAGAAGGCGTTATTTGACGAGATGGCAAGCCCTGGGTACAATGTTCTTCTGAGAATTGCCGCTGTAGCCGATGCTTTTCATTACTTCGGTTACGAAGAGGAGAAGGGTTTTATTCAGCGATTCGTACAGGCTGCGGGTGAGGGTGAAGTATCTGTCGCAGACGTCAACTCTCGGGAGGTTCTTGTCACCACAACCAGTTACCAAGACGATACCTCATTCACTGGGTATGGCCAGGACAACTCGGGAAAGCTATTCCAGATCAGCGAGTCTGGAGATGAGATGCTGCCTGTGCAGTTCCAAACACAGCTGCCTTGGTTTGAGATTAGCAAGGTTGACGATGAGATCGTTGCCTTTGGCCTCTCCAGGAACGGTCATATTTATGCCAATTCTCGTCTCCTGGCAAAGAACTGTACCTCATTTATCGTCACACCCAGCCATCTCATTTTCACTACCAATAACCACTTGGTCAAGTTTGTTCACTTGTCCGCCAACGTCGATGGTAAGTCACTCTTTTGTCTTTCGTGACTACCTACTAATGCCCCCTTAGATCTTGAAGTTCCTGCAGATGACCCCGAGACCGACGAGCGTTGCCGCAGTGTGGAGCGTGGATCGCGACTTGTCACAGCTATTCCCGCCAACATGAGCATTGTTTTGCAGATGCCCCGTGGAAACCTGGAGACCGTCTTCCCTCGAGCCATGGTCGTGGCAGGTATCCGTAACCTGATTGATGAGAAGAACTACGCTCGAGCATTCTCATACTGTCGTACTCAGCGTGTAGATATGAACATTCTCTACGACCATCAGCCCGAGCAATTCTTGGCCAATATTGGCCTTTTCCTCGACCAGATCCCTGACGTCGCTCATATCGATCTCTTCCTTTCTTCTCTCCGGTATGCTTTCTTGTTTCAACCTTTCAGGACCATTACTAACCTAGACCAGTGCTGAGGATGTTACTCAGACCATGTATCAAGATACGAAGCGATCTACCGGCTTTGGAGCTGATACGATTCCCTCTGACTTGTCGCCCGCACCACGGGGTTCTGCTGCAAAGGTCAACACGGTCTGCGATGCTCTTCTCGACGCCCTCCAGAGCCGCAAGGCTACCAACCTTCAAAATACCATTACCGCACACGTTTGCAAGTCTCCGCCTGCACTCGACGACGGCCTTCTTCTAGTTGCTGAGCTGATGCGTGAGGATGAGAAGATTGCTGAAAAGGCAATCGAGCATATCTGCTTCTTGGTCGACGTCAACCGACTATATGAGAATGCCCTTGGGCTCTATAACCTTGATCTGGCCCTCCTTGTCGCTCAACAATCCCAGCGCGATCCGCGCGAATACCTCCCCTTCATTCAAAACCTGCACTCTCTCCCCGAGCTTAGACGTCACTTCGAGATTGATGATCATCTTGAGCGTCGTATCAAAGCCCTTGGCCATCTCCAAACAATGGATGTATTTGATGAACTCCTTGCTTATACCACCAAACACTCCCTATACCACGACGCTCTCCGTCTATACCGCTACGACCCTCCTCGCCTTCGAGAACTCACAGCCGCTTACGCCGCCTATCTTGAGTCCACATCAGCCTACCGAGAAGCAGGCCTCGCATATGAGTCACTCGAGAACTGGGCAAAGGCAACCAGCTGCTACCGAACCGCCGGCGCTACATGTTGGCAAGAGTGTCTCTACACTGCAGCTCAGCAGCAACCTCCCATGTCTCCTGAGGCCATGTCCGACCTTGCCAACAACCTTGCAGATGCTCTCTGGGAAGCAAAGGACTACTCTGCCGCTGCTACCATCCACCTCGAATACCTTGAGTCTATCGACATGGCTGTTCGTTGCCTGTGCAAGGGCTACCACTTTGCAGACGCTATCCGTCTCGTTGTTCAACGCAACCGCCCTGACCTCCTCACTGCCAGTGTCGACACTGGTCTCGCCGATGCGCTAGGCACAACGACCGAATTCCTCGCTGACTGCAAGGCCCAGCTCAAGGCTCAGGTTCCTCGTGTTGCCGAGCTTCGCCGTAAGGCTATTGAAGACCCTCTGGCTTTCTACGAAGGAGATCGCGCTGGTGGTATGGACATCCCTGATGATGTCTCTGTCGCCGCCTCTTCCCGTGTCAGCACCAGTGCATCACTCTTTACACGATATACAGGCAAGGCTGGAAGTGTGGGAACCGCTGGAACAGGAGTCAGTCGCGCCACAAGCAAGAACCGTAAGCGCGAGGAGAAGAAGCGTGCTCGTGGACGTAAGGGAACAGTCTACGAGGAAGAATATCTCGTCAACAGTATTCGTCGTCTTATTGACCGTGTCAGTGCTGCTGCTCCAGATGCCGAGCGCCTTATCTTCGCGCTTGTGCGGAGGAACATGCCCGAGCGTGCGCGTGCTGCCGAAGCTCTCATGGCTGAGGTATCTGAGGCTTGCACTGCTGCGGTAGCTGAGGTGTTCAAGGTGCCCGGGGCAGAGGCCGAGCAAAAGAATGATGCTGAGCCAACCTGGCAGGCTACAGGAGGTGAAGCTGTGCTGCAGGACTTTGTGATGGGACAGGGCAAGAAGTTGGAGCCTCCGATTGTTAAGGGGGTTAAGAAACTTACGCTTTTAGGATCATGATGATAGATTTATGTCAAAAGTTATGTTTAGACGATCAAATACAATCAACCAGTAAAATAGGAATATGCTCATATCGTAATATTGTGCCTCGATTTAGTTAAGGGCATTAATTCTAGGCCAATCTTCGTTAGCATGTCACAAGTCTAGAATCAAACCCAGTAAAAAAGCAAGACTTTTACGGAATTTCGATCTCATAAAATGTAGTTGATGAAGTGAGAGAAACAAATCCCATTCGCCTCCGCTATGTCAAAATCCCAACTAAAAACTACCGAGCAAAAAGGCTAACTAAGTACGAGAATATCGAAAAAAGGGGGTAAGAAAATGCTGGCTTAGAGAGCCTTTGCCTCCTATATCCGTCCGTCCTTCCTAAGTCCATAACCATATTCCGTACTGACATATCGCGTTCAAACAATCTCGCATAAGGCGTTTCTTCTTCCCAGGCATCATCTCCATAAACAAAGTGGAACCGATCTAGGCACATCAAGATATGTATACTCGATCATATAACCAATGTGACTGACTAAGCGCCATTTGGCTGATCAGGTTGCTTATCGTCGTCGTCCTTTGGTGGCGGTGGTGGAGGCTGGTTTGCCTCAGCTTCTGCATCTGCCTGAGCCTGAGCTTGCCGGGCCTCGTCTTCTTCGAGCTCCCTGAGAAATGCCGCATCCTCGTCTTCCAAATCAGCTTCAGCGTCCGCTCCCTCCTCGCCGATGGGGTTCTCAGGAATGATGCCGTTCTGACGCTGCCAAACCTCTCGTCGAATGCGGTCGTCCTTGGCTTTCCGCGCGCGCTCGACCTCCTCAAACCCGCCTGACTTCTTCAGCTTGCCGTCCGCAACAAAATTGGTGATTTCTCGGTGCAGTGGGTTGACCTGGCGCGTTGCTAGCTCCTTTTGCCGCAGCTTCTCCGCACGTTCGATAGCTTCCAGTCGATCTTCGTGGTTAGGTTGTAAAGCTCTCACTTCACCAAGAACACCTTCCTTTGCGGCGCTTTGATCGGCACTGTTGCCGAGGTTGATAAGGCCCTTGGAGAACTGGCGGGCGCTTCCAGCACTTGCACCAGTGCCGTTGTCCTTCATTTGCTCCTTGGTAGCCTGCTCCACGAGAGTGAACGTTTCTGAAGCCTTCTCCAGATCGTCCCGCAGATCGACCAAAAGATCCTCCATAAGGCGAAGCTCGTCCCGCCCTTGGCACACGTCCTCTAACTCCTTCTCCCAAATCTTGGTCCAAATAGGTTTCTCCTGAGTCATGTACTCTTCCATTCTCTTCAGTTCCTTGGTCAATGTTGCGATATCCTTTCCAACAGAATCCAATTGTCGCGGCAGTGGTCGGACACCGCGGTGCACCACATCCTTTCGCAGATCCTCAATAAGGTCCTGGAGGTCGTCCACCTTACCAACCAACCGATCAGAGTCGCTGTTGAGTTGCTTACGTCCGCTGGTAACATATGAGTAACCAGCGTCGCCTTCGATGTCGGGAATGGCAGCTTTGGCTGTAGCGACCTTGACATTGGCAGCTTTGGCGCGGATGGTGGCCATTGAGTCTTGGATATCGGCCTGGAAATTAGAGTAAGTCTGTCGCATAATGGCCAGATCTCGTCGTAAGGTCTTCAGTTCTCCGAGATGACTACTATCCAGCTTCCTTCCAGAGCTAAACTGTGTCTTAGTCCCGTCAGACGAGTGAGAAGTTGATGGGGGTGATAGTGCCAGTCGAGCCATTTCGTTGGCAGCCTCTTGTTGTCGGTCCGAGACTCGTTGAAGAGCAGCTCCTTGATCCGTCACTGTCTGTTTGACATCCCGAACAATTTCGGTCAAGGATGCAATTCCATCGTCGATATGTTTCTTGACTTCGTCCAGAGCCTCAACATTGAGCACCAGAACAGTTCGGTCTTTCACATCCGCGAGGTCTTCCAATTCGTGTCGTACACCAGAAACCGGATCTTGAATGTAGATTTCAGGAAGATCTGCGCCGTTATGTTGTGTATTCCAGGAAAACTTCTCAATAAATGCAAGTTGAAGCCGTCCGATGGTAAGTTCGGCGCGTCCCTCCGGCAGAACAAACTTCTTTACCTTGGACTTGTACTGGAGGAACAAGGTCAGATCCTTTGTGGGAGTAGGAGGGGGCGAATCTTGGAAGTAAGAGGTCTCGGCAGGTTTTTGCTGTGGTGTTGGGGCAACTTCAGGTTCAACCTTTGGCTTCTCAACCTTCGGTGTCTCTGGTGCATCATCGCTGAAGAACATAGGATCAGTGGGAGGTCCACTGAGTGTTGCGCTGGCAGCATATGCTTCATCGGGTGTTTGCACTGTTGGAGGATCTGGTTTTGCGGGTAATTCTGCTAATGAAGATTCCTCGGAAACACTGTCTGGTATCCTGACGGGAGAGTCTTCGGCAGGAGCTGTAGTTCGCAGAGACTGGCTGGAGGTATTACGGTTGTGGCGTATGGACTGTCGACCTTGAACTGCGCGCAGTGATTCTCGAACTTCCTTTCTTCCTCGGTTTGGCACAGGTGAATTCTGCGGCGGAAGAATCGGTACACCATTAGCACCTCCCAGATGCTTGGATATTTGATACTGAGAATATCTGCGTGAAGCTCGTCTTTCCAGGTCTCCACCCTTCTGCAGAGCTGCCAGGGCACTCGAGGTATTGTCGGGCGGAGGTGGTGGAGGCGGAGGGAACGAATCGATATTTAGCTCCCCTCCAGGTGGTCCAGGTGGTGCTGGAGGTCCAGTAGGAATATTACTTTCGCCCTCTGGATAAGGTGGAACAACTGGCATACTTTGCATCGTGTTGCTAGAAAGGGAAGACTGCTCTGATATGGCGGAAGCTCGAGAAGATTCTCGCTGAGCATTAAAGCGACGTGGGGACTGGTTGGTACTGCCACCCGACTGACGCAAAGAATCAGTCGGTTGCGAATCAGGCTGGAAACCATTCTCTAGACCCTCTTCTAACATATTGGTGAGTCCGCTGTTGCCGCTTCCAACGGTACTGACGCTGGTTGCCCTGTCGGGAGGTGCATGGCCGTCGCGGTCCCGAGCTTGCTTCTGGCGGAGCTTCTGTTGTTTGCGCTTTAGGCCGTGTAACAGATTAATAATGATGTCCCGGATCCTAGGCAAATATTTCTCCAAACTCTCGGCACTCGCCTCTTGGCTCAACGTCGCTTCGAGAATATGTCGCAGCAGATCGGGCACGTTTCCTAAATCAGATGTGTCAACGTGGATGGCCGTGAATGCGCGACACGCCATATTGAATTCATAACCCAAGCGCACGTAAACGTCAGACACTTGGCTATCGGTAGCTTGTCCGCGCGACCATTGGGTCAAGGTCTCGAGAAGCTGTTTTGTTGCGACGAGGAGGTGTGTGACGCTCTTTTCGATCTGCGATAGAGGCATATTGGAACCGCTGCCGGAACCCTGAGAGATCATGGAGCGTCAGCATCTTGCCTTGCAATTGGGCATGGACGTGGGGCAGGGCTCGGCAGGGGCACAGTCTTGCCCACGCTGAGCACTATGATATACTCACTTCACGGTTCATCCTGCGAGACCCAGTCGATTGTACAGATCTCGCTGAGGCGCTCGAGGCTCGAGCCTGGAGCGCCGGCGAGATGGATCGAACAGGAACATTTGGCGGTGGCCCTGGCTCAGCGCCAGGCGAGCGACGATGGGCGAAGGCGCGTTGGGAACCGGATGACGGAGCTTGCATGACGGACGATGTATGCTCGGATGTATGTATCTAAGTCGCGACGATATATTCGTTGTCGGTGACGGTCCAGGGAGTGAATAAGAAGCGGGAGCCTCCGTCGACGAGCAGGTTGCTTAAGAGATTAAGCTCGGTGGAAGTGCTTAATCTACGGATTTTGGGTGCCTTCGAGGGGCAAGAGGCATCATCAAAACGAGCGGCAGGCAAAGCGGATCGCAAATTCGATTGTCGTAGTACGAAAAAGGGCGTCGCAAAAAAAGATCGAGGCAGGCGATGTACCTGGTGAGAGTGCGGCTGACGTTGGGAGAGAGGATTGAATTGTGGGAGGATAGTCGAACACTGTAGAGGGTGGATGGATGGATTGAATGAATGATGATGGTGGACAGTAGGTAGTGGATGAAGGTTCCGTACGGGCTCTAGCGGGTACCAGATACAGCACGACATCAGTGATTCGACAGCTGAAAATAGGTACCAAGACCAGTGCCCAACCTTACCTGACCTTGATCCAGATGGAGATGACCCTTGTATAAGCACGTGCCACTTCCCATGGCGTTTATTCTGCAACCTAGGAACTGAGAGCATGGATGAGATCCAATTCTGGGGGGACGGGGAGCCTATGAACCAACAGTTTTTATGATCATGGGACTTTATTAGCGATAAGGCTTGGATACAGCCGTTTTAACATTCTTCAAAAACCGTTGTCATAATGCACTAAAACTGTCATTCGGAATGCTGCTAGCCAATCCAATCACATACCATTCATTGTAATTAGAGGTTGCCCGCATAAATGTCCATGAACCCGGCACAAATTGTGCTAATGCATAATGCAAACAATCTACTCGAGTTACACTATTTTATAATGATATCATGGAAAGAATCAGCGCAAACTACGCCAAGTCGTTTCATAGTTGGTTCAATATATCCCGCGGTACGGGCTGTCGGCTAGGGAACGGCTTTACCGCTACCACGCCTTGGCCAGCCACTTCATGGATCTGGGGTTAATAAACTTGGCTATTGTTTCGAAAAACTGTTTCGTTGGGACAAGGAGGTTCTTGATGAGTATTTTATTGCGGTCAATAATACGTTCAACGAACGATATGGTATCCCAAGTTCCTATCCTTAACGAATGGTGCTGTCCAAGCAATAAGTTCTCGTGTAATATCATCAACGCCGGTACGCCATAGTCATTATCCATTCGTGTATCTCGCTGTTGCCTTATTTCATTACTATTTGTATCTCTCTCTCATGCTTCCTCTCCGAGCAGGGCGAATTGGTCGCCAGACACGGTACTAATGTCGAGCTGGGAGAACCCCTTGCCCTTTCTTCCACTGATGAGATGTGGTGGGATCGATCCTCTTCCGTGGTCAACTGTTACGTCTTTGCCCTTGAATTCTTGTGAACCCGAAATGGAGTTTGCAAAGAACATGCCCTCCCAAGAATTAGGATAGTAGAGCTCAATTTTGCCGCTGACTGACTTGTGTTTGGAGTGAAGAACCGAAAGCACGGGTCTGGCCATGCTAATTTCAGCAAGCTCAGATCCTTCCGGGAGAACAATGTATGGATCGCTACCATCTGTCGGATCATAAGGCTTGACGGGAGGGATCGTTTCGCCGATGGTAGCAAGGCTCGTCCACAGGGGCTCCAGAATCGTCACATGCGTATCGCCACTCTTTGTGTCCGTGATGACTGTTGGCTTCGCCTTTTCGTTTATAGTCAACAAACTCGAGTCCAGAACTGGCCAGATTTGCAGCTTCATATCACCAGACTGCGATTTGAAAGACGCTAGTGAGCTCGCGGCGACATCGGCCGTGATATCTCCAGATGCCGTGATGATATCAACTGTGTAGTCGCGTGGTGGGAACTCGCGATCTGGGCGAGCAGCCTTCTGAGCACTAGTGAGAGGCTCATCAATCTTGACCGTGCCTGAAGCAGAGCGCACACGAAACTCAGCAGGTCGAACATTCTGAGGGTTCACTGGTTTCGGTCCAATGTTGGTGATGATATCGCCTGAGGCCGTTTCGATGTCGAGGAGGTCGTAAAGGGGATACCATCCCTTGACATCGCCGCTGGCTGTATGAATGCGGATTTCGCGGGATGAGAGAGTGTAAGGAACAACTTCCTTGCCCTTGATCGTTTTGATGCCAGGCGAAGTGATATCACCGCTGGCGCTTCGAATGTTGACCCCATTCTGGACTCCCAGAACGACCCCCTCTTTGAGGTTGACGTCAAGCTGCTGAGTCTCAATGTTAAGATGGTCAAGGATAGTCTCACGATGAGTAGAGACCGTGATACGTATTTGGATGCAAGGAGCCTTGTCAGACGAGCTCCAGTCGACTCTGCGTGGCACCTTGATCTCAAAGACCTGAGTTGTCTTGTTGAAGTCGGCCTTAACCCTGAGGTTGTCGTGGTTGGAGATAACCTGCAGCTCGATGCTAGCAGGCGAGGAATCTTCTACAGGCCGAAGAATAACTTCACCAGAGACATGGGTGCTCCATCCTTTAAGGTCATTGGACTTGACCATTCTTTGTATAATGCTAAGGTTGCGGTCAGATTGGATATCGATTTCCTCAATGAAATGGGCGGAGTGTTGAGGCTTTTCAAGGCAAGTTCGCGAAGGATTCCAGTCGAAGTCATCGCCGTCGTCGGCAGGTGGTGCAACGGGATCATTATCCTCGACTGGTTTTGAGTGTGGCTAGCAGTTATATTAGTTCAGATATCGTATTATATCAACGTAAGACTTACGCCGTGGTTAGACTGCATAGTAAAGCTGCTGAAGATCATAAAAACGACAGAGAAAATGAGAAGCGAAGCAAGGACTGTCTTGACTTTCTTCCTGATGTTGAAGTTTGAGACGGAGTCTTTAAATTGTTGCCAACGTGATGGTTGTTGAGCTGAGTTGGAGGGGCTGCTCATAGACTCTGGAGCATGGTTGATCAAAGGTCTATTCTCCTCAGGCCGACCCATTGTAGCTGTAGAAGCAAAGGTTTGATAGTTATTCACTGTAGTTGGCGGTGAAGTTGTTGTAGGTGAGGGCGAGTAAGCAGGTGGTGCGTCAACTGGATGAGCAAACAGAGGAGAAGCTCTTGGAGGAGAACGTGGCGTCGATGCGATGGGGTTCTCCGAGCCACTCGCGTTCTCGTGTGACGAGGCAGTGCTTTCAGGGTTGCGTCCAGCAGAGCCTCCGGTATTTAACAACCTCCTCTCCCTCTCTGCTTCTTGAATTTTTGCATCGCGACTCAATTGAGTTGGGTCCTCGACAAGCACATTTGGAACATGAGGTACGTTTTGTCCAGAGCGAGATGACGACGACTCAGACGACGCGTGGAAGTAACCGTCTGTTGGCGAGAGGGCATCAGGTTCATCGTCAGAGTCGGCGGAATAGAGATTGTCAGAGTAAGGAGCAGGCATTTTGTCCTTGTCTCGTTATTGGCGTACAGTATGATTGTGGGCGTGTGGCGTGTAAGACGGTGCAATTGATCCAGACGCACGTCAAATACCCCTTTTCATTGAAGTATGAAGGATATTAAGGTGATGCGTACGTGGCACTCTTCACAAGAGGAATCTGAGCGTGCTCACGCCGTGTATCACCAGATTATTGAGGTGAAGAATGCCAGACGAGATGAGAGAAAGATGAAGTTGAGCTGCGGCGCGGATGAAAAAAAAAGAGGGGAACGGGTCTTGCTTACAGCACCTCTCTTGTTGTTTCCTACAATCAGCCTATGGCCATGGTTCTAGACTGAATATTCCTGCTCGGTTACGTTGCTTGGTTGCGATGCTTCTGATCATGTAACGACTTTGGCCGATCACACTATTGCTCTTTGGGGGCGAGCGTTGAATGTGCATATGAAGCGGCGTAATACTGCAAAAAGTCCGATCAAGCTATCCATTTATCGTATTTTCCAACTTATAAGCCATGGTAAGTTCAATGCTTCCTTCTTGGCTATACGGTATTTTCAATATTATGAGTTATATTATCTCTACCCCAGGTCTCTCTTTTCTTTATATTTCTTCTTTCTTCTCCGATTCAACTTCTCTTCAGAATCTTCCGTTCCCTCGTCTTATCTTCCGTCTCCCACCAGAGCAAGGATCCTCTATCACTTTACAAAAGTTCCCCCAACCTTCACAACCCCGCAGTCCTCTTTCGACCCTTGCCAACTGCCATTCCTGTGCAAGCTCAATTCATAGTTACAATGTTGCGTAAGCCCTGCAGCAAAGGCCGCGAGTTCTTGACATGCGGCTGACGACAACCTGTGACTGTGGAAGATAAAGGAACGAGTCAAGATCGCGAAATGACGTTTGATGATCGAGAATAATCAGCAGGATACGTGATAGGGCTGATTGATAACGACTACTTCTTGGCCAAGCTACCCCAGCCGAGCTCGGATCTGCAGTGCGGTAGTAAGCTTCTTTTGTGAGCTCCCAAAGCAATTATGAGCTTGGTGGGCAGCTCCGTCTGGACCTCCTTTCATTCTTAAGTCTAGAACACAATCCCTCCAGCAGTGAGCTTCACACCTCAAGCTTCCGCCATGCCTTCATAATTATTACCTTCTCATGGCTGTTATTGCAGTCCAACGAGTCCTAGGGTTACCCAGGGCAGCCCCTCCTGTATGAACCATTCCGCCGGAGCCGGCCCCACATCTCCGGCTCCGATTCCGTGTCCGAAATGGGCATGCTCGATCTCGGATGTTTTCCAGGACCTCTCACAGCTAGCCCGCCGCCTTTCACAATTCAACAATTTCATAAATGGCGAGTCAGAGTAACTTTCATTATCGTTTCAAACCTAGTCAAGGAAACTGATGGATTCATCACGAGACCTCATCTTCTTGTAACCACTTCTATCTTGAACAAGGAAATGTCCACCCAATTCTAACCACCGACTCCCAGCACCTCCGAAAATGAGAAACATGCAGTGTCAGCCGAATCATCGCCTCGTCTTCTGACGATGGCTGCTGGCCACTTTCTTCTGATATATCAATCCCTTCAACGCCAGAATATTCCCCCATCGTAACGCAATGCCATCCAATCGCTAGATCCTCGCTTTCCAGAATGTTGATGTGAAATTTGCGTGCGTGCGTGTGTATAGTAAATGTTAATTGTGAAACAGGGGAGGATCCCTGTAGTTTTTTTGTGTTTGGCCCTTTCATCTCATCGCTAGTTGGGGCTTCTAGCTCAATCCAAGAATTCTCTTGGAATTCTCGTACACCACCCAAGTGATACTCAAGGCGGGAGCGACCTTCAGAAGGTTGGGTGTAAGGCCCTTGTATAAGCCTCGATACCCTTCTCGTTGAATCGTTTTCTTCGTTACGTCCCAGATACCAGTGTATGTTGCGGGATGCATGGCCGTGCCCTGGGTTTGAAGTCGTGTTCGCACCACGTTCAGGGGGTAGACAACGCTGGCTCCAAAGGCTCCAGATGTGGCGCCGATGATTCCCGTGGCAATGTTTCCGGGTTTGACATCGTCTTCATGGACGTTGTTCTTCCGAGCATAGTACGACTTATAAGACTTTTTTAGTAGTTCAAAAGTGCCCATGTCGATAGCACTGTAGGGAAACATTCCCACGAGTCCCATGGTCAATCCTCGATAGCAGGCACGCACACCACCATCTGCATACATTTTCACAGCGGTCTGGCGAACCAAAGCCGCACCTTGAAGACCGTCCTTGACAGTCTCACATTGTAGGCGGAACTTGAGGGTATCAAGGGGGTAAACCGAAGCCCTGCCAATTATCAGTTTCTAATTTCTGTCAAGATTTCTGTCAAACTTACTGTGCTATCATGCCAGCAAAGCCACCTGAGGCGAATTTTGACCACGAGCTGAGATGCTTTGGATCACCATGGCCCTCGAAATTGGCAAGTGCGCGTTTTGCCGCTTCATACGAACCAAATTTAATGGCCGTCTCAGGCATGATTTTGATGACATTGAGGCCGTTTCCTAGTCTTGTTAGCATCTTCCATCACATCCAGGGCCAATATGAACCCTAGTTCATTATGATGCAGACTTACCAGCAAAAAGACTTCGAACACCCCCTGACCGAACAAGATCTCGAAAAGCATCGCCGAACGGTTTTGCTGCGTTTTTCAGAGCAGCGAGAGGACGGCCTTGTCGAAGTGCTGCACCTGCGGTCTCGGTACGACTGGACGTATTCACAAGCAGATAGACCTTCAGCCGATCGAGAGGCGCAGTAGCCGTACGCGACACTCCACCGGCGATGGCACCTGCTAGAAAGTAGCCTGGATCGGGTACAAATTGTGTTAGTCTAAACTTCTTGTGCACTGCTGTTGAAGCTCCAGTGGTGTGTTCATGTTCAGGTCCATGGGTGCCATCGTCGACGTGTTGTGTAAGCGTTTCGGCGATTTCCTGCGATATCTCGGTAGCTGCATCATCGTAGTCGGGATATGAGACTGCGGCCGCGGTAGCCATGTTCTCGGTCTGATTCGGGGACTCATCCGGATTTGAGGTGCTGGGTTGACTGACGGAAGTCGATGTCCGGTCGGGTGAAGGTATAGGTCTTGGGAAATCGTAGGGGAAAGCGACTCGTAGAAGAGAGCCGAAAAGGGTGATGAAAAGAGAGCGGAAGCCGTCCGTACCTAGACCCTCTAATGTTTCCTCGCTCACAAGTGTGTCTCCTTCTGGAGTCACGCTGACCACCGAGTAGTAAAAGTCAAGTACGGCATGAAGTTGGGAGTCATGGTCGTGGGGCGGCATAAATAGCAGGAAGTTTCTGGGAGTTCATGATCAGCTGCTAAGCCCATGATCGACAAGGAGACGCTTCAAGCAAAATCTCGACTTCGAGAAACCGGTCGCAAATGTATCGCCGATGACAGCGATTGGGCTTGGCACATGACGTTATGAGGGTTATCCCCGCCAAAATGACTGAGGGTCAGTCATGAGCTCTGAGCATCTGATGGGATGCGACTGACAGCCAGTGGAGATCTCAAATGAAAAAATGCAACAAAAAAGCATCCAGATAGAACTGAAAATAAAATACTGACCGCCATTCGTCAAATGTGACATAACCGTCATTGTTGAGGTCCATATCATCGAAGAACTCGGTAAGGCGGCGGTTCGATAGTGTGAGTCCGGCATTCTTGAAAGCTGTTTGAAGCTCAAGTTTGTCCAATTTTCCATTCCCATCTTTATCAATTGATCGAAATAGGGCAAAAAGCTGGCGCTCTGCATTTTCGACAAATTTTCGGAACTCTAAAGGGTGCGAACAGCCAAAAGTAAGCTTTCAACATCGTGGCCGTAGGTACCGAGGCAATATCTGGAAGAGTTGGAGCTCCAAAGTCAAAGACAGATTTGCGTACCGTTATATTGTATCTTGCCATCGCCGTTTTGATCTACCTCTTCCATTATACGTTTCAGCATATCGTCGGCATTCTTCATGGCTGTAATTGCTCATCAGTATCTCTACCAAGCTTGAGCCAGCGCGGGCTCTCGCTTACGATGGTCAATCCTTCGAAGCCCCTTCCGCAGACCCTTTAGGTCAAGTTCACCAGTATGATCAGGCTCGAGGCTCGCCCAGAGCTTCTCGACACGAGCATCGCGAGAGTTCTGGGGCTCCCTAAGCCCCTCTTCGATTTCCTCCACAATGTTTGTCACGCGCATGACGACAGTTGTAACTGCAATGGTGGCATATCTCGTTCCGGCAAGATTTCAGGTACGTCGGGCGCAACAGGCGCAAAAAGCCCTGCGCTGCAGGAGAGCGTCGCTGTGGAAATAAAATCGAGGTACGGCGACTTCGAGGGAGGTATTGTCGGGTTACCGGAAGTTCATGGCTAAACTGTCGTAGGAAGGATTCGGGTCGGAAAGGAAAAGATGGTGTTGAAGTGCCAATGGCAATTGACGAGCTGTGACGTTGGTAGCTGAATGAAACCCCCCAAACCGGGTTAACGTTTTGCTGCTCTTGCTCAAAAATGCCTGTACCAAATACCAAATGCTACAGTGGAGCTACTTGCTGGATCTGACCTTAGCCCCGTCCGTCATGGCCCGGGGTGGCTATCAACAGCCGTCCTGCCCGCTGTTGGGCACTGCTTCGAAGCCTGGCGATCAATCAGAGGCACTGTATTATGCTTAGTGCCCCGGAAGGACCCGCTGAGCTATTCTCTTGCTGTCTCTAGCTGCCAACATCCTCGCTCTGTCTCGGCATAAACTCCTGGCTCCTCATCTCGAAGAATTTCTTTGTCAAGTTGCAAATATTCACATGATCTACGGACTAGTCAAGTGAAAAATATGTTCAATCAGTGGATTAATGGTCTAGTTTACTATTTGAGCGTCCTATCAAAACGTCCTATCTGAAGCTCACAAGTTTCTTATCTCATAATTGGGTTGCTCTCAAAGACAGTTCCGGGCATATGGTCCGACAAATCATCGAAATACACATCTGCATATCTGAGATGCTACATAGAATATGATAGAATAACTATGCTTCACAGTTCAACAAAATTCTATGGAGGGGTTTACCTTATTTGATCTCTTGCACGGAGTCTTCCATGTCGTTAAACTACCAGGTTCATACGATAGTAAGATAAAGTTAAAGTTCTAGGACTATACAGACAGACAGCCAGGGTGGAAGCTTCATATAACACTAAAATGTATGAATGTCTCTGATCTCTAATAACAATAACCAGTAACGCCTAAAACTCCCAGTCAATGCTCCTCAATGCTAAACCCGCATATACCATGCTTCATGTCTCGTTTCTCATAACTTGATCACTTATCTAAGCCTCTTGCCTTAACAAACCTGTTGATCTGTTCGCGAGTAAGCTTGTCGTTGTAATGTTCATAACATTCATAAAATGATATTATCTCCTGAGTAGCATCCACCATAGATGCAATCTCCACGTTGCTGTCGACCAGCCATTTCGCAAATTTTTGCACCCGCGACACCCGATCTTGTTGCCGCTTCTCCTTAGGTTCTACAGCAGCAGGCTCGGGCATTCCACCTTGTGCTTGTTGGCCCTGTGCTCGCATCAGCGCCTGTTGAGCAGCTGCTAGTCCTGCGGCGGCGGCCGCTCCTGAAGTGTTCTGGCCAGGACCGGAGTTATTAGGTCTCAACACCAAGGCCAGTAGGATGGCAACCATGGCGATAATATGTGGAGGGTATAGGAGCGGAAGATCCGTCATGAAGTGATCGTTGATGACCGAGCGAGCCAGTTGCACTTCGTCGTCCACCAACGATAATTCGCTTCGCAAGGCTGTGATCGTTCGATACGGTTGGAATACAATCAACTGTGATCGCATCTCGCTTATCATGAAGAACTCACACTCGCCCAGCTTGGACGTGTCGATGGCCACGAGATCTCCCCACATCTGTCGCGCCTCTGTCACGATGAGTCGAATATGTTGAGGAGACTCTTCTATTTTGCAGGCTAGGTATATCGCGGTCGCTATGACGAGGTATGGGTTCGTTCGACGAATCTCGACTTTGGAGTAGAATCGCTTCATGTAGACCTGCGCCGTGGCCATGGATTGTTGTCGAATCGTTAATCGCTTCGCCAGCCGTATCAATTCTGCGCGTCCCTTGAGTCAGCCAATCAGTTCTCTCGTGGTATAGAGGTGTCCACGTACGTTGATTAAAATATATGTACAAATGGCGTTGCTGCGGAAGTGGAAACATTCGCACCAGTTCGGCATTGTCCTCTTCAAGCTTCTGTCGCATTGTCGCGAGCTGCTCCTTGGTGAAGCTCCAGAAGCGACATTGTGTCGATTGCCAATAATTGGCTGACATGTCTTCTGCTAGACCGTTAGGTACCAATTCCGCAGGAAGATTAGACTTTTAAGGAGGCAGGTTTGACAGCCGAAGCTGTTGAGGTTTCGTTGAAATAGTCAACTTGGAGAGGGGGCTCGCAAGGCTGGCAACGGCGCCACACGGAAGGGCCCCGTCTTGTGGCTGATTGGCGATATTAAACGACCTACCCAATAGAATCTGCACTTGAAGCGCGTGTTGTTTAACTGGTAATTTACTAGCTGTAAATTAGTCTTGAGTATGAGATCCAGGTGAATTCGGCATTTCCTGATTGTGTTTGCACATGTCCTATTTATACTGGTACTTTCACTCTCGTCAGAGTCCAAATAAGTCATACTGGTAATCCGGTATAACCTGGATACTCCACTCGTCATGCTCTCAAACTTGTAGAAGTCTAACTTTTCTCTCTGTTAATTGAGATTATACTCTTGTTCATCAAGAAGCTATTAAAGGTACTATCTGACTTCTAACTCGCCTTTGGGTATCAAAACTTGTCTCCGTCATAGCAACACTTCGCCACGTGTTAATGATTCGAAAATCGTCGTGATCTGTTCCTCATCCAACTCCTTGACGCCGTCCAGATCAAACATGGGGATGCCCTTGTCAGACTTTTTAAAAAGAAGTGTACCGCCCTCCTGTTCGTCGACCTCGATATACCCTGGCTTGGAGCCCATGTGCCCTGGAACAAGTGCACACAAAAACGAGGTTAAATCTGGCATGGAGTAGGCTTTGTCAGGGTATTGTTGCTCAAGTGACACTTGATTTGTGACGATCTTGACGGGCTCCTCGTGGCAGTTGAAGCCCAAAATTCGCTTCTCGATACAGTGGCCTCCGAATTTCTTCAGGCCTATGGCTGAGTACTTTATACTCTGCGCTGTATGTGAAGGCACGACGGTGAACTCTGCAAATTCCGCAGATCGGCTGAGAACGATCTTGGCTGCTTGTTGGTTGAGGGCGATGTTGAACTGGTTGGAGAAGAGATTCGCTGACATGTCGCAGGAACCCTATCACCATAAGTATCTTGTCAATGAGGAGTATGGATCAGACTTACCACCTGCAAGTGACACTTGATCTTGCTGGCTACGCCTCTATCGAGGAACTGTTGTAGGATTCTCAACGAAGAACCCCCAAAGAAACGAACGCTTCCCGCGGTCTGGATCCGATTCAAAACTTTGTCCAAGACAAGTCGTTCCACAGAAATGTCTGAGAGCTTTCTATCCTGCTCGAGTCGCCAGATACACTTGTTATACCAACCCCGCAGGTTATCGGTTCGACGGCCGAAATGTAACACTTTCTTCAGGATGTCGTAGTATTCCTTCAGCTCATTTTCAGTCCGGTTGACAAGCTCTTCATGGTGATGCATGTGCAGATTCACTGGGTTCTCGATATGTTCCAGAGTCTCGTAGTCCACAAGAACTTCGATGGGGTTGTTGTTAGACCACTCGGAAAGACAAGTTGCCAGGTCCAGTGCACTTAGCCGTGCATGCAAGGTGGCGTCGTTGATTGAGCCATACTTGGGCTTCACTGCCATCTCGAGCTATTATCATGGTCAGATTTGTCTAAAGTATCTGATTCTGAGGGGAAAGCTTACGATCTTGCGATCATCTTTTGTCAGATCTTTGATATCATCAATATCCTGCTGCTTGATATCTCCGTTCAAAAGGGTCTTGAAAGGGTTCTCAAAGGATGGAAAGTGCTGTTTTATCAATTCCTTGCATCTGGTGATTTGATCCATTGTCATAGATAGTCCAAAACACACTTGACGAGGCTCTAGAATCCAAAGTACGCGGACGGTTGGCTTCCAGTATGTGGCCTTGAACAAGGCCATAGCCGCGGCCAAGTTATCTGAGTCGATGGAGTCATTATAATAAATGACGAGATCGTCCCCCATGGTGAATAGATTTGCTGATAGGGAAACTTCTGCTTCGATGCGCGATAGGTGAAAGTCGATGGGAAGGTTGAGAGATTTAAAAGCAATGGAAGTAGTAATGTCTGATTGATTGATTGGGAGGAAGCTTTGAAAGCTGGTGGGCTGTGCATTGGATCTCTCAGTAAGCTGGGCTGCCAATGTGCCGCTTAAAAAGCCCCGCGAAGCGCCTAGCACAATGGGTGTTGCCACCCCAATCAGTCAGTGACAGAGTCTGCCCAGTTACACAAAATCACAAATGTTACAGCCTTGTGACTAGCAGTGGAACAATGAACAAGGCCTGTGAGTACAGACTGTTTTGGACATGTTTCATTGCCTCCATGACCAAGCCACAGTTTTTCCACTCTTTGTTCGTGTATCAAGAACGACTAACACAAAACTAGAACTCCCCGAGCCGTGATTCCCGACACTTTGGGTAATATAACTTGGCAAATATGCGCTTGAATCATAGCGTCAACCGATCTGAAAGGATCATTCTTGTAGCTCAGTAAGGGTGTTTGCGTTCGCCAAGAGCATGGGAACATATCACTCCACCCAGCATTGTCCACATTCTGGCATCATGTGGCAAGGGCAAAAGACCAACTAGATGTTTGGCTCCGTGTGTTCTGAGGCCTTGATTGCTCTATTTACACGAGAAGCTGTACAACTGCTTCAAAGAAGTCAACACGGATGCTGTTGTGAGCAAAGCGTTGCATGGCTGAGTCTAAGTCGTGGTGAACTCATTCTACCCTTTAAACAAATCGTGATACAGCATCTGCCGTATCTAAACAGTCTCTGTGCCTCGTTTCACGATAAAAATCTCCTCGACTTGCTATCACACTAGAATATGAGCGTCCCTTTCAAGCCTGGTAAGTCTTGGCCGGATCCAAGAGACGGGTGCAACAACACAACCATGTTTGAAATTCTTCGTACAGCAACAAATCTCATCCATCAGCTAGTCAACTTGACGCCAGCAAGGCATAGCACTAGTGTCTTCGCAAGGCTGTGTATGGTTGATGGTGTATTCCGGCTAATATGCCAAGTGGGTGAAGGACGTGATTGTTCAACAACCATTCACTTGATTTGTGAACATTCTGGAAATGGAACCATCCTCAAAGGCATCGTGATCTTATCAGGAGGCCTCTCTCAGACTCCATTAGTCCCATTAAGGGTCTAGGCTTATCAAGTTAGAGAGAACTACCAGACAAACCGAAATGTGAAAAGGAAGGGTGAAGGGTAAGACTGAAATCAAGGCCCGCGCTCGTCTTCCCTTCAGAAATTTATCCCAGATTCTCGAATCAGCCTCGTTTATAAACTTATATATTGGATCCAGGCATGCTTGAACTAGTTATGACAGCAGACTTTAGTCTCTGAATCCTTGAACCCGATCTAATTCCTTGTCAAAGCTTTTAATCTTGTGCTGGCTTGGCTGATCCAGCACTGCCACTTAAAAGAGGAGAACCCAATACAGTCAGCTAGTGTGCCTATCCATGTGTCCATCCAAGTGTCCATAATTGAACAGCGTACAATCCATGTGAACCATTACCTAAACATAGTCTTGTTATCATTTTCATTCTCATCGTCCTTCGCTTTGTACATGGTTACCTCGCCACAGAAGTTAGGCAACTCCCCCAAACACTTTCCAACAACTCGTTTTACTTCATTGGGCTAATGAAGAAGTGATCATTCGTCATGGCCGTGACCTGGAACTTCATGCCAACCTCGATGTGACCCTCATCACTAGGTGCACAAAGCATGCCAAAGCTCGGCTTGAACTTCAATCCAGGGTCGATCCGTCGATACTTCATCAGCTGGTTCCAAGGCTGACGCGGGTGCTTATCAGCAGTAATTGGGTGAACATTGGGTACCTGGCATCGCAGACATCGGCACACTACATCAAGGTCGAGACGGTGCTCACCCTCGCCAATTTGCAGAGTCTTCCATCCGTCCTCCACCCATGGCACGCTTCCTCGGATGATAACATTGGGGCGGAATCGATCGATCTCAATCTTATCCTCTCCAGCCTGAGTGAGACGCTCGTTAAGTTCATTCATGCTCGCCATAGAGGCAACCTGTCAAGTTTGGCATTAGTACAACGCCTGAGTCATATTTCAGGTTGCAGATTTTGTAGCTTACCAGCACAGGCATCATATCGGCAAACTTGGTAGCCTCAGTACGACCAAGAAGGTGAGGAGCTCCGCTTCCACGTAGAACTCGTGGCGTAGGACCCTTGTACATCAGACGAACGTCCATGTTTAGGAACTCCGAGATGGGCTTGGTCAGACTCTCGGCGTATTCCCAGGCATCGGTTTGCTCGCCCCAAATAGTCGCCTTCTTGAGTTCAGTGTTGTTCTCAAGCCATTGAGTCGTAGGATGAGCGGGAATCTCAATCTTGTGTTCATTAAGAGAAATTGTGAGTGTGTCGGTATCAGCGTCCCAAGCTGTTATGATAAGAGTCATGTTTGAATTTGCCCTGATCGTGATGAATTCATGCTTATCAGCCGTGACGAACAACCAGTTACGATCCAAGTCTAGACCGGTTCGTAGAAGCTGCGTTGACTTTACGTCAAAACCGCGGCATGATTTGACCGGGTATACACGAAGGCGAACAATCTCGTCGTCAGCTGGTAAAGGCAATGATTTGGATGCAGATTGACCAACAGGTCTGCGGAACAGAATGAAGAGAAGAAAGATAGGCAATGTGGCCGAACCGACGATGAACAGAATGTAACCCAGTGAAGAGCTCTGCCCAAATTTTAGTACATCCATTTTAATGTGATGTAGTTCAGATTGTGTAAGTCGTTAGGTTTGATGTAGTGGGTAAGAGAAAAGTCCGACTCACAATGGAGGCGGGAAGTCCGGAGAATTTAAACCCGCCCTGCTCCCGTATCTTGGGGGCCCGAGCCCCCGGAGCGCGACTCATATGGATTAGGTCCCATTCAGTGTCTATCATCGAATTTATGATGGTAGTCATTCTAATTGTTTGAGTTATAGAGATACACTTTGTATTGACGTATAATATAACATCATGCAGGGGCAATCGATGAGTTTCTGTCTCGTTACGATCAAAGACCTGCCAGCAGAACCACAATCAATCTATGTCTTCGTTGCCATATGGAATGAGCCTATCAAAAGGCAACGCACCAGTCTTATTCCTAAATAATATACACATTGGTATCCTGATAACAGCTGGTCTAATCCTTCATTCTTTATCAAAACTCCAAAGTCATGTCTTAAAGTTTCCGCATGCAGGCGAAAGTGATGATCTTCAGCCGCGACCGGAAGGATACCTGTAAGTCCTGCTTCTTTGAAATTTTGATTCCAATGACCCGAGATAGTTTGATGTGAAAATGCGGAAATAAAGTGCGTGGGGCCAAGAGAAATGATTCCAAACCGTACATGATGACGGATCGTATTTTCAAATCTGACTCATAGCAATAGCCACTAATGAGGAACTTTTGAAACGAATCAAGCATGACATACAATTTATTATGTTTATCTACCAGAATAATAAACGTCTATTTTATTTTCAATTCAGTTCTTCGTTTTCAAATCGTTATACTCTGCCCAGCCGGTGCTGGCTATGTAGTGCTTAATTATATATACAAGAGAGTCTCTCTTCATCTTGAGGCAACCATAAATACATGTTCTGCCCCAATGCTTCATATACTTTCTGCCTTCTACACACAGGATTCCTTGAAATCGCTCCATACTATGAGAACTGGGTGTTAAGAGCCATCATGACAACATACTCCTTTCTGTGTTTCTAACGAGAATTTAAATCACGACAATTCTAGGGAGAGTTGCAGGACATTGCCACATTACTTTCATATGAAAGGTTTCAAGAATCAGAACCATAATTCAAGGACGGGTGAGATTGAAAAGCCTTCACTTAGCAGACTCAAGTTCAAGTCTTTGTCAAGTATTAAGTGCTCTCGTTGACTGTCAAGATTCAAGATTCAACTGCAAACCCCTCTCATTGTTCTGATGTCACATAGGTGTTCAGTTGGGACTTGGGAAACGAGTTCGTATCATGAGGAGTACTTCCGATGCATTCTGTTCTTAATTTTCTCAGTCGTCTTCAATAGTGACATTTGTATCCACATGTCTTGTTGTGTTGATAATAGGAGCTGCTCTCTTCATAAGGGTATTCTGAGTCTTCTTGTAGGAGCAATCTTTAGATGCTTCGGGTCCATAGACTTTGCAGTGAGTACTGGGGAATTGCAAAGGTACATACTGAAATTTTTACAATCGTTGGACCTTCTTAGACACAGCATCAAAGGAAAACATGGTCATCTTCATATCCTCTTGGACGAGACACGGAGAGTGAGTAATGGGTTTCAGATGCAAGACACCAATGTAACTCGCTGTTCGTACAGAGGAAAACCTCTAACCCATAGGCAGATCTTATGATACTTATCGAAACACCTTATTAGCTTCATAAAAAGAAAAGGTATCATCTCGCCTTCGGGCAACTTCCTCGTGAATCGTGGACATATATGTAAGCTTTATGAGCCTGGCTGCCTGGCTGGCGAATACTGCTACGGATACCAATATCTCATTCAGGTTCTCACCCTGACTTCATATCCTTCTGTTGTCAAGGCTTGGTGTTGGAATTGCTGTCGGTATCTTTCTGAACGCGAACAGTGCGGCCTCTGTATCAAGTCCAGCTTCTATATGATGGTCATTGCTAGCAACTTAATTTTCATATGGCCTTCTCAGTATTCACCAAAACCTTTTTCTATAGTATGGGTCGCGAGTTGTGTTAGAAAATTCCACTGCCAGCCAGCCCTTTATTACGAACGTGTCTCTAAGAAGCTACGAAGAAGGTAAAATAGGCAAGCTTCCAACTCGTACTCGCAACTAACACCAGAGATATATAAAGGCAGTCTCTGAACACCTAAGCCATGCAAGAATTGCAGCACATATCACGGCCTTTTCGAGCTGCGCTACCTGCAGGGGATGTGAGCCGTGTCTGAAGAGGCCGAAGCGGTCCGGAACATACATGTTCTCGATCTTCCATGATAATCTCTCTGGCGATTCACTTACAACCTCTGAGGTCATGGTGAGGCAGTGCTGGATCAGCTGATACATTGTGGGCTGTTTATGATGAAAACAC